CATGTACATATGTACAGAACATTGTTTACGCTCGCAAATACTGAAGACAATCTTCGCTATAGAGACTTGTTGATTACCCAATGAATTTTCTTCTGGAGTGCAACGGTGACGCATGCTCACCTTGAACTTTCGCCTTACAATACACTGTGTGTATATGTAAGCTTATTTGTGTATATTCTAGCACATATATGCATGTATATACATTTTGTTGTATGTTGCCATCACTCTGAATGCCACACATAAATTGTACGCGGAATATCGTCGCTAATCAAGTGATGATTAGAAGCCAGTCAATTGTCTGGTGCATGGAGATGGAGGTGAATGTTATAAATTAAAATAAATCTAATAAATTGTACATGTGGACCATATATGTATGTACAGAGGTTAAACTTAGAATTGCGTTTTTAATGACTATGAAGAAATGAGACTGAGTCACTGTAGTTGTGCGGTATGCAGTGATTTGTATGTTTTAAATGAGATCAAAATCTGAAAAATATTCAAGAAGCAGTGAAAGCTCGGCAAGAGCTGTTCACTTAATTGGGGTAAGCTTATGTCGGAGGAAAGTGGGATTATATCTAAGAAGAGATCTTCTTTTTTCTTTGGTACGTTTGGAGAATTTAATTTAGTTATACGTACTATCAACGGCAGACAATTAGTAAAATTTGTATCAAGAAAGACAATAACAAAACACTTTAAAATATTCATTATTACAAAGAGCTTTTTTTTAATGCAAATATAATACTATCTCATGATGTACAACTTTGCTTCCGCCGTTTTTTCCAAAATTAAAAACTTTATTGCGAAAAAGTGCTTACAGATATATTATTCAAGGTATTGTCCTTCGCTTGCGACAACTTTCTCTCATCTTTCCGGCAATTTTCGGATCCCGGCTCGAAAAAAGGAGTCCTCTTTTGACGATATCCATGAAGCAATCCATTTTTCCAATTCTTCGAAGGATTGAAATTGTTGATCAGCCAGGCTGTGTGCCATCGAACGGAATAGATGGAACTCAGAAGAGACGACATCTGGGGAATACGGCGGGTGGGGCAAGACTTCCCATTTCAGCGTTTCCAGGTACATTTTGACCACTTTTGCGACGTGAGGCCGAGCATTGTCGTGTTGGACGATGACTTTGTCATGTTGCTCTTTATATTGTGGCCGCTTTTCTTTTAGCGCGCGACTAAGGCGCATCAGTTGCGTTCGGTAGCGATCTCTTGTAATGGTTTCACCCGGTTTTAAGAAGTTTTGAAGGTTTTGAAGGTTTCATCTCTTCCACCAGCATGTTTGTCTTCGACATCGAAATCACCATTTTTAAAACGTTCTTTCACTCAGAGCAGCATCACCGTAAGTTTCTGAGAGCATTCTATGCGCTTCAGCTGAATTTTTTTTCGAATTCAATTTGAAAGGCACTGTCCACACTCAATTTAAAGGCATTATCATCTACGTATTTCAACCAGTTTAGCCGGTACAGCCACCTATCGGAAAATGGCGGAAGCAAAGTTGTACATCTGATATAAAAAATCAAATATCCAATACAGTGAACGACAAGTCTCCAATGTTGTTGATATCCTTACTCCTCTATTGACTCGGAGCACTATCTTGAAGCAGTAAAAATACACCCCCGCTGCTATGCAGCAATGAAGGATCGTCAACCGTGTCAAGCAAGGGTGGACGTTGAAAAGCTGCAATCACAGCAAAATGCCGAATGCTATTTTACTCGTCCTGGACTTCTGCTTTCTTAGCGCACTCATAAGCAACTCCATATAAGGGAAATATAGGACGGATTTGCAGACAACAGCAAGAATCGAGATGCGTGAGTATGAAGAGTATCTGCAAGGCAGGGGTAATGCTTGGAGATTCTAGGAAAAGATACGGCGATAGCAGCAGGTGGCGAACCTGACTCCCCAATCGATGATGTTGAAACAGATGTTTCATTTGCCGTTTTTTTCCAGAGAGCAAATCCATCTACGAGTAGAAATTCAGTATACTTTGCGCTAAGGTTAATTTGCTTTAAAAATTAAGAAGTTTAAGAATTTTTATAGCGAAGATTACATAGCGGCCACACCATATAAAAGGCAAAAAAGTACGGACTTTCCTCCATCTTGGAAAAATATTCCTTTTAAAGGGAATACATTTCTTTCCGTTGAATATGTTTTGTTCAAAATAATTTCTGTAGCATGAGACGTATTTATTTTTTGAATAAAAAAATAAAGTCTTTTAAAAAATTTGTTATTTTTTATTAAAATTAGCCAAATTTTTCAAAAAATAGTTTAAGCATAAAATTAAATTAAACATTCTAATTGCGGTCGCCCCTCGGCGAGGAAGCTCAAGCGCAACGAGTGTATTTATGACATGAAATAAAGGCTCCTCATAAAAAAATATCAGCTGTTCAGAGGAGGTTTTGGAAGAGAAGATCGGACGCAAATCGTATCAGCGGTTACAAAGCGCCAATTTTATATCTATATTTTTTTATTGGATCTGCTTCGACATCGGAAGTCTAACAACAAGTTATAAAATCTTAAGCTGAACTTAAACATAAATTCCATTAGCTGGAATGCATTGCTAGATTGACGCTGCTCTTTAGAATGCTGATTTGTTCCTTCTCCTCAGGCGGGTTGGACTTGTTGCGTAGGTCAAGGTGTTAGCCAAACGATTGGAATGGTTACACATGCGCCATGGTGCGTTTGTTATTACCCATTAAGTTTTAATTTCAACCCTTGAATCATATCTATATTCGTCACGCAAGCTATGCCCCATAACTGGATTCTATACATACTTGTCGGTTTTATAGTTGCAAAATATTAAAATCAGATGAAACATATATGTATCCAAATGTACTAGTTTTCCTGTGGTATGTGAATTTCCCAAGTCCGTTAATTATTAACTAACTTATCGGCCATTTTATAAGGCGATCTTTACGACTTCCGCTGTTTTTTGACGCGCCCATAACTTCAAGGGTAAATTTTCAAAAAATGATTAATCTGCAAGTTTCGGCATTAAGTTAAACCAAATGCCAAGTTTCAGCCAAATCTGAGACCAACTCGCACAAACCTGATTCATTTAATATGGAATGACCGTTAGATATGCACTTCTCAAGGCAATAGAAGTATCTCATATAATTTTAGTTTTTAAAAATTATTAAAAATTATTAAAATTCTGGCGGTACGTTTAACTGCTTACACTTATATTATTGGTAGGAGAGTTAAGACTGAAGTGTTAGAAAATATTTTCAATTAAATAACTTTATGTATAAACATAAAAATACAAACTCATCTTTTATTTAGATAGATAGATTAGTAGGAGGATATACACCGCAACCGGCTGCACTCCGATTTCTTCACATTATTTCAACCAAACCTAAGGCCAATCAGTCTAGAGCGGCTGAATTATTAATTTTATTTACTAAAATGCTGTTTTTTTTTATAAAAAATATATTTGCCATAATTTTCATATTTGAAAAAACAAATAAATATGTACGTGTATGTCTCGCTTTTTTATGAAGCTACACTTTTTTGAATACTTACCATGTTTCGTAAACAGAAAAGCTCTCAGGCAAAGGCGTCAATCGCAATGAAAACATGAGGTCCAATAAATGGTCGAAGCTTAAACTATGACATCATTAAACAAAGGAAACGTAAATATATTTCTGACACACTTCCATATATATATATATATATATATAGACATTCAAAAGAAATTACTAACAAAAAGAAATGTAAGGATACAACAATAACAAGACTGGCGTATATAAGACAACAATAACAATTAGACGCTGTTTATTGAATTCAATGTTGGCTTCTCATTGAAAATAAGGGCTAGGCAACAACTCGTTATAAAGGGTGTGTTTTTAACAAACATGCGATTTCCTAAAAGAAATAAAACACATTTAAATTATTTTAAAGACCAAAGAGCTTTATTATGTAGATAAGCGATTGCGAATTATTTAAAAAGAACTTCAGGTAAGTGAACGCTGCGGCTGGATTGACTAAATTCCCGCCGGGAGGTCCAGTTTTCGATGACTTTACGACGAAAATTGCCGTATGTCAGCATTAAGGCGACAAGGTCACTTAACATTATTCCACAAGAATTGGTCCAGCGGCAGTAAATCGATCTTGGAGAACACATCACACGTTCACGACGCTTGATAATTTACTTACCGAAAGTGTTCTACAATAAATTGATTGTTTCGTTGGCTGTATGGCATGTCGTGCCGTCTTGGTTAACCATACCAACATTATCCAATTCTTGCTTTAAAATCTTAACAGGTTGGTTGGCTTCATTTTGAAAGTAAATGAAACAATAAAATCCTCTGCCCTCTGAGAGCACAGCAAGCAGTGACTTTTTGCGGTAGTAACGGCATCTCAACAATGGCTTGTAGATTATTATCTTCTTTAATTTTGATTGTTGGTTGAACCAAGGCTAACCACTCGACTATTGCACCCGCTATACCCAGGCAACTGTTAAAAAAAATCAGTTTGCCTCATTGACACAAACACGTCTAAAAAGCACCCTTTACATGCATTCATTTATACATATAATACATATCTAAGGACATAAGGACGTGTGTGCCAAAGAAAAAAAAATATATAATGAAAATATGGCACAAAAATGCGTCGTTTGCCGAGGGTGGCTCATGAAGGGCTGTCGCCTGCTGGAGTGAGCTGCGGTGGCGTAAGCAACAATGAAGCAGTTCAATTGAGCGGCTTGTTGACGAACTGACAGTTCAGTTGTACGCGAACAGCAGTTTGTGTTGGAAGTAGTGCGTGGTGTGCGGGAAAAGTTGTTAAGTGAAAAGGAAGTAAAATAAATAAATAAAAGTAAATAAGAAAGAATTAAAATCATTTTTCAATACAATAATTGTTCAATTATTTTTGTTAAACAGTTCTAAGTGCAAACAACAAAAAATAGTACTTAATTAGAAAAAAATTGATAAAACTATTAATAATGTTAAGAAAACAAATATATATACAAAACGCACACACTTTATATTGATTTTCAAAAGAAAACATTTCAATTTGGCGCACAAATACAGCTACAAGCGAAATATTAATACAATTTCCGCTCATCGACTTGCAACACGAAATACGCTTTTAACAGTATTACCGAAAGTGCCGAACACGAAATATAATAACGGTTAACACGCACCAATAATTTCAACTTGACCACCGTTAGTTGGATTTTATGCAATTTAATTAAAAATGGCATTGAAAATTTCTATATTAAAAGCCATTCTGGCGGTGGCCAACACAGTGCTGCCGGTGCGTATGAGTAACATTTTAATGTTCGTTAATTTAACGATTTGAATTTGTGTTTACTTTCCGTTCTAACTTTTTATTGCAGCTACTTGGTATTGGTCTGATTGCACTTTCTGTTTACGAGCTAAATACGTCAACGCCTGGAACTATGCAACACATTTCGATTGTTATACAAATTTTTATTGGCTCATTTGTGGTGTTGACCTCCTTTCTGGGTTGCTTTGGACTGTGTCGCGTGTCGTTGGGTCTAACTTGGAGTGTAAGTAAATGCATACATTGTAAATGAAGTCTTTTTGAGTGTTCGTTAAAAAAATGCAATTAATTCGGATTCGAGAAATATACACACACTCGTGTGTACTTGTTTTAAGGCAGATGACACCCCATGTCGTTAGGGCGCGATCCTTTTAAGGACAATAGCTAAATTTGGCTCATCATCCAATTATCAATAATAATTTACAATGACTTCAGACCTATTTGAGAGTTGATAGCGTAAACTCTCCAGAGTAAAGGTATATACATAAGGTCTCCCGAGGTGGAGTGATTGCTTGTTTTGAATTAATATGCAGGGCAATTGGAATATTTTGTTCAGTCTTGTATACTATACATATGTATATTTAACTATGCTTCTTCTTCTTTGCTGGCGTAGACACTGCTTTCGCATTTACAGACGAGTTAACAAACTTGATCTTTCCAATGGAGTAGAGGTCTTCCTCTTCCTCTGCTGCTACTGGCGGGCATTTAAACCGAAAACTCGTTGAACTAGTTTCATAGCTCTTACTTATTTAGTTCTGTAGCTCTTATTATTTTCACCAGTATCACTTTGAAGAAATCACATATAGAGCCACCCTGTCTAGAACGTCGCGAGGTATCGAGTGATCCTTTCCAATTCTAATACTTGAAGCATGTGGAATATCTGGTCAATGGTGGATTTACCAGATCTATACCGGATGATAAGTTCAAATCAACATGGTTGACGGTGGGCTTCAGTCTTTCACAATATACGATCTGTGAGATCTTATTTCTGATATTTATGAGGCTTCTTCCAGGAAACCTTGGCACCCCGTTTGGGCATACTTTCGTCTGAGCATTTTCTGTGTGTGATCCTTGTCGAAAAGGGTACTAAAACACTTAAAAAATCAGCTTAAAGGGATCGTCGAAATTCCTTTTGTCCTTACGTTGGCCCGTCTATTCACTGACCTTGAGCTTGCTTTACGCTTTGTGTTGCCTTCAAGTCATATTTTTCAATGAGTAATTTCTGTTTCTTCTTCTTCTTCTACTTCTCAGTACGTAATTTGCATGCTGATCTTACTGACATTCCAAATTTATTTGATCACCGTTGCCGGCGTAACGGATTATGTACAAAATACAACTGATCACTTGAACAAATTGTGGAGCAATGTGACTGTGAATGCTGCAGAGATTGCGCAGGTGGAGCAACAGGTTAGTTATGTTTAAAAAAAAAAAAAATAAACTCAATTCACTTTGCCTATGAATATTTGCTTGCAGTACGAATGTTGCGGCAAATTGGGCTCCAAGGATTATATACTATTGGAAAGGCGTATACCGAAGAACTGCTACCGAAACTTTTCTGGTCAAGAGAGTGATTTGTTCAAAGAAAGCTGTTTGACGGTACTCCAGGGCATGGCACGGAAATGCGGTAGCACAGGACTCGCTATTAAGTTGACGCTATTCGGTTTTGAGGTGAGAATTTTTATATTTTATAGAAAGTAATTATCATTTTTAACACTTCTTTTCCATCTGCAGGTTGTGGCTCTATTTTTTGCTGGCTTTATGGGTATTACCATACGGAATATGCGACGTAGAGATCAATTTGTGGACAATTAAAATTCATGTCGACAGCCACATAAAAATAAGCATATTTTGTATTAATCACCTCATACAAAGATCTCTTAGGTGGATAACTGAAATATCTGAGGAGACACAGTTTCGAATCTCCATTTTTGTAGCCTACAGCGAATATGCCCACCAAATACTAAATATTAAAAAATTGATTGTTTAAATATTCTTTAAGTAAATCTATGCAAAAATATTATTGTTGTTGTACGTATAGAGAACCATCTGTTAAATATAATATTTATATCATTTAAACATACATATATATGTACTCATGTACCTAAGAATTTTGTGAAAGGCTTTTTATATTGATTTATTTTATACGAAAATATACAGGAGATTTTAAATAGTATGCCAATGTAAAATGTTAGATAAAGTAAAAATAAGTATAATAGAATAATAAATATGTCTATTTGACGACACCAACTTGGCGTTTGTTAAGTCGAATGACATTAGCATTAAGGAGAGCATTCTACCCGTGGAAAAAATTGACATAGAGAGTTAAGTATTATATTCTTCTGTCTTACTGTATCACCAGAAAGGCGTAATAATTGTCCTCCTCTTCAGCTCTTTTAAAAACTTTTTGTTTTTGTAGCTTGAGAAATATTTGTACATTGTTGGCTCGCTTACGCAAGCAGAGCAATGTCTTAAGGTGCTATACTCTCTCCCATGCTCTGAAATCTTACGGTTACCTCTTGCTTCTAGCTAGATTCGTAGCAAACAACGATGATATTACCATAACTTATAGCAATAAGTTTCCAAAAAAAACCACATAATAAGCAGTGATGATTAGGTCTCCATTGCCTTTTATATGTTTTTTTTTTTGTTGAGATGGAAAGCATCGAAAGCCTAAACCCCGTCAGTGTGAGACTTTAACCCACTAAAACCACCTCACCCGTACGGTAACCCCTGGTACTACCTTTTATATGTATATACATGCATCTGTCACTGGATCTTTACATCTGTTGTGAGACCAATCCGTACTTTTCGAGAACCAAATCTCTAGCGGTCTCCAAGTTGCTAACACTCGGCTACCGCGTTCGCCCTATCTTGGCCTACGTAGAATAAAGAAATAATTCAAAGAGCAGCGATCAGTAGCATAAGTGGTGCGCTCAAGACAACACCAAATGAGGTCTTAAATGAGATCAGCGATATTTTACCGTTGGGCTTAATGGATTATCAGATTGCAGCGCTAGCCTTCCTTCGTTAAAGATAGCTATCATAACATAACAGCTGGTGATCTAAATGTGACATAAGATTAAATTGGAACCAAACTCAAGCAAGGATATCTTCACTTTCTGCCACAGTCAGCTAGTTTGGCTTGCTTACAATAATCTGAAAAAAAATGTGCTAGACTGTTTTCGATCTCTTACTTGGGTTCGTATTTACAAGGACATTGTGAGGCACACGAATTTGAAAAAAAGTCACGACCAAGCAAATTCTTCCCAACAAATAACGCCTTGAAATCCCTTTTCGTACAATCTACTCAATGACTTTACTTACAGGCCAAACTAAGATGGAATCAAATTATTAATTGTAAAAATTTTCCAGCAAACATCTCGCGGGAAATATACTATGTCTAAAGAGAGCACAACTCTAAAGTTGTAGGTTTCCCAAAAGGCCTTGATAGCTCCACATGCCGCGAGGCTGGGAGAAGTTGGTGATCCTGCAAGGACGATGGGGATGAAGAGTAACCTTTTCTTCTTCTTTTATACTATTGCTTGGTCCTGATCACGTCTAAGTAGGATTACTAGTGAACACAATTATTGCACATATTTATCGGCGGGTCCAATGCTTGTGATATCAAACAACGCACTATCGAACTACGAATAGAAAGAACGAATAGAAGGAACGACTGGCTTTTTACTTCCAGTAAGGTAGCCGGAGAAATGTTTTTGTTATAACTTTGTTAGGATTCGAGCTCTCCTTGCATAGCACGCCACGCGGTAAGCCATTCGGATATGCAAAAAAATACTTATATTATGAAAAGAATGTAATAATAAGGAACGTGAGGTGACGTTCAGTGCTAAGGGATTTCGTTTTTGTTCAAATGAAAACGAGCCACTGCTATCCGGGATACTCTAAAACCTGTTTTTGGAATTGCATAAATGGCGCTTTGTAGCTGCTGAAACAATTTTCGGCAGAGCTACTCCTCCAAGTTGTGCTGCACGTCTTGATGGTTTTCCTTTGAGGGATTTACAGTTTAGAAGATGCCGTCTCCGAAAGGCTTCCGAAATATTTATACCTTTCAGTATTTCCATTAAATATTACCATTGAATATTACTTCTCATCTTTGCGAAGTTGGTTCGAGAGGGCAAAATATCGAAATTTTCCAATTGCTTTTATTTATATATCCGGCTGCAGAGTACCAAATTTCACGCTTTAGATACTTTTATGACGGAGTTTTGACCTGATCGGTGTATGGGGGTCATATGATAAGAGGGCTGTATTTTTTATTTTGGGATTTGGCAGCCTTAGTGTTAAAAATTCTGACATACTCAGAACGTTTTAACATACGATATTTATGCCAGCCAAAAAATGAAATTAAATCGTAAACATTTTCGCGCCATCATATTTTACTTCTTACGACGTGGATTAGCTCAACAATACCGCGTCGATGAACTTAATTCAATTTTTGGCAGTAAAGCTCCATCAAGTGCCACTGTCCAAGACAAATTCCGTAAATAAGTTGTTTTACCGAAAACTATTAATGCTGTGCGGCAACTAATATCGTAAGCTCGTCATGTATCCTGTCGTGCGATTGAGGTAACTTCAGACCCAAGTGGAACCACATCGCATGAATATTTCACTGCAAAAAAATTTGTACAAGTTGGATCTCACGCAATTTGTCACTGGCTTCACAAAAGGCTCATGTCGATTGGTCGAGATTACTTTACAAAAAAAAATACGATAGCGTTGCTTCGAAACACGTCTATGACATCGTAACAAATGATGAATCGTGGATATATGTGTCTGAGCTGCAAAGTAAACAGCAGAAGACTGTATGGGTGTTTATAGATGAACTGAATCCAACAAAAGTGGTTCGCTCCGCATGCTTCTCATCTTTGCAGAATTCCCCGCCCACATATTGACCTCTCCTTTGGTTACCTGTTTTTTAAAAACTAGAGAAATCGCAGCTGTGTGTCCAGAATAACGCAGAATACCAAGTTTTAATTAAGTGATATATAACCACTTCGTTTGGCAGTCGTTTTTCAAAAAATCAAAAAAACCAACCGCCGATGACGGAACACTCCCCAACACTCGACTGAAACAACTACACTTTTAAGCACTCAAAACATCGAAGGTCAACATTTTTCGACACCTGAAGAGCCGGTTGATGCCTTCAGAAAACAAGTTTTGGAGATACCTGAAACAGAATGGCAAAAATACTTCCTCAATTCTTTTAAATGCATGCAAAATAGATCTTATTGGGGATTATTTCGAAAAACAATAAAGCGATTTTCGATGAACGATATTTGTTTTTCTTCGCTAATTCCAAAATATAAAAAGCAATCCTCGTGTTATTTTGTTTATTTTACTTCTCCGCCGCTTTATCCAGACATTAGAAAATAAGCACACTTAAGTATATCTAAAATCTATCCGCTTTTGCGAAATTTTTTTCGCAATTACAGACATGACAGGAGGCTTAACAAGTGTCAGAGTATATAAATAAAATATGATTTGTGAAAGCAAACTGAATGAAGCAAGTGTGCACGACGTGCATTTCAAAGCTAATGAAATAAATTCGAAAATAAAAACAATGTGACTAAAATTTCTAATATTGAAAATAAAATAAACAAAAATAAATAAAATATACATATGTATAATATATTTTTGAACGTACATACGTGTACGCGTATGTATGTATATGCATGTATGCTATAATAAAATACACAACAGCACGTCAGCAAAATCATTTCTCTAACGAAACGTTTTGGTTAATTTCACTGTGACCGCGAAATTTACGCGCCTTTCGAATTAACCAAGTTAAATTAAAAAAGAAACAAAACAAAAAAAAAAAAAAAATGAAAAAAAATCATAAATAGTCATCACCATCGCCCACTTTGCTTAAATAATAAAAGTGAATGTGTGATTCGTCAACAAGTCTGTAGCGAAATTTCGTACAGAGGAAGCTGAGGGAGCAAGAAGAGCCGGTGGCGGCACTCGTAAGATAGCCAAGAGATCAGAGAGTCTGTGGAAACGCACTCAACACACGCCCATTTATTTACCTACATACTCTCGCAAAATGCCACCTTTCATATATCTGTGACACCTCGCTTTCAGAATTTTTTTTGGAAAACGCTAGTGTTTTGAGAATCTCAATGTTTTCGATGTGACAGTTTGTCGTTTCACTTTAAAGGTGTCGCAAGCGTTGCGCGTTTCAATAATTGCGTTGGGATTGCATTAAATAAAAGTGTTGGAAATTGATATAAATTGCTTATTAGCATTGTGAAAATTATGTTAAAGAATACAAAAAAAAAATAAAAAAATAAAAATATAAATAAAAAAATAAATAATAAATAAAAAAAAAAAAATAATTAAAATAAATAACACTCCAAATATTTAAAAATTTAGCGGTGAAATTAAGAAAAAACAAATAAATAAAAAATAAATATTTGATTAGTAATATATTTGCATATAAATATCGTTAACAATGGCATTTAGCAGACCTTGCCTGCAATGGACTGTTATTGTTTTCAACATACTGAGTTTGGTGGGTTTAACGAATTAATAAAACATTGTTTAAAATAAATAATGAAATAACTAATAAAAATAATTTATTATTATTAATAATAATATCATAAAGCTTAGTTAGTAGAAATCTGAAATTACTACCCATTTTAAATTTTTGTGAATTTTTCAATAATGTATTGCAGTCGGCTAGCCAAGTGATCAGCGTTGGAGTACTGGAACGACCAGTATTCAAAAGTTTAACTAAGTTAATTTTTCTAGTTGCGCTCGCCATCTGTGATAACATTTTATGAGTCAGCGTTAAGAGTTTTCGAGAGAAATGTTTTGGCATGAAGAGACAGCGATTCGGTGTAGAGCGACCGGTTTTCACTTGGTATTTTGAGCTGGCGCCAAACAGCGAAATAAAGATGAATGGTGCGATATTATCGATTCGGCTATAATCGCGTAAGCGGTGCTTTTAGTCTTACGAGCCATAGACGGAGCAAGAGCCTGAACAGGTCGGGACAAGAACGGCTTACTGCCGTTAGTGTAATATGGAGCTAGAAACATCGCTGTATCTATTAAAAGAATGTGAAGCGCTAGCAAGAAGAAGACTGAAATAAATAATCGTTAGCCTTTTATGTTTACTAAAGACATTCGATCTATAGGAAGAATTGTAATAAGTACTTAGGGAATAGTAGACCTAAGGTCGCAGTGTAGGTCCTTTAAATTATCATTGCGGTGAGAAAGACATTTTGTCGACGAGTCTTAGCATTGAACGCGGCGAATAAACGAAGTTCTTTAAGTTATCACTGATTGGGACCATGTAATAATCGAAGGGAAATATCAACGATACATTCTATGAATTTACCGCAAGTGAAGACAAGAATAGTGTTTACGGTATAATAGTCTGACAATTCATAGAGACGGAACATGACCAAAAGAGCTGAGGTTAATTGACTTCGACTAAGGTTAATTGACTTCGATGGAACCTGAATGATAATAGTCTGTAGTATTGTATAATAATCTGGCACAAACATAAGGCAAGTCTCCAGTGTTCCCGACGTGGGTACATTCCAACGGCGAAACATCTACTCCTAACACTATCATGTCACAGTGAAAGAATACATCCGGCTCTCTCGGAACGCTGCAATCACGATTGAGACAGCAATCACAGTACAGTTCGATGAAAAGGAAATATGAGATGACATTTCATGCTTCCTTACGGCAACAGGCAAGGCGTGTACCATTTGAGATATGAAATTTAATCCAAGCAGCATAAGGTTCCGGACAAGGATTTCACGATTAGTCACCATCTGGGAGAGATTAGTGGAGTTAAATAGTAGATAGTAGAGGTTATTACCTATGCACTACTCGACAATTGCTCGTTCCGGTCATGGGTACTCACTGGGTTAAATAAGAATGGTGGATTTAGTGAAGGCTGCAACATCTCTTGAAGGGTGCAAAGATTGTATCTAAGCGAATATTTCAAAACAGAGTGGACCATGTATGACAGAGCAATTAAAAGTGACTCTTAAACAGATCAATGAAAAATATATACCGATATAGTTAACATGATTATAACTGCCTATTGGCGCTTTGGGGAATACGGGTCCTCCTTACAACAGCGGTGACTGTAGCTGCTGATTCGGAATTTCTTGAAAACTGGCAGTCGTAGTCCACTAGGATGCCGGACGATTTTCTTGTGCGAATGTTCATTCCTTGCTTTTTATGAAGTATTGGAATTTCGCTATGTAGGAAGACTGATAAGTGCAGAAACTGTAAGGAGACAGGCGTGAGTGAGGTGTTGGAAAAAAACCTCTGTTTCTGTCCTGAATTACACAGAACACGTCTCAGTCGTCAAGGTGTTGAAGTAGTTTCCAAACTTTATATGAAGATCCTTTTAAGCTTAACGAAAAGCCTTGAAGCCCTACGCGGCAACTACTTCACCTCGATTTAAATTCAATCTCCATCTGGCACTAAACAAAGGATCAATATAGATCTATGGAAAGCGCAGCACCTAAGCAGCGTGATCCAATCAAGTCTAACCTGATCTGTGTGAGCCTCTTGATATAACAAAAAATAAGCACAAACAAGACTATATGTTTTGAAAAAAAAAATAAAAAATCTTCATAGGAAAAGAAGATTCGAAAACATAATAGTTTCAACCTCTGACGGACGTTTGATTTGCTCTCTATAGATTTTAGAAAAAAATTTCCTAATTCATGTGATGAGTCTTTGAAGAAGAAAAATTTAAGAGCATCGAGTTGATTGGGAGGAAACAGAGAGTCGAAACTAATTTCGCTGAAATTTTCCCAATTTTTTTTCGAATTGATTCAGTTAAGCCTACCAGATCAATTTACATATAATTTATTCATTCGAAAAATTTATTAAAAATATAAAAAAAAAAAATTAGATTGAAAAAAATATCAGCTTTTATTGGTTGATTAAATTTATTTTTTACTGAGCAATAAGTTTTGTTAACAAATAAAAATATTAATAATAAATAATGAATAAAAAATATTAAGAAATTAATTCGTTAATCCTCTGCGGTGAGGTTCAGCCTTGCACATATTCAAGGAACATTAAATCTGATGAAGTGATCTTAACTTCCCGGGTGAACAAATAAATGTATATATAAAATATTAGTATGATTATTTTTATTTAATTATATACATATAGATATGTGTGCTTTCAATGATTAACATAATCTCTCTGAGATTTTCTTTTAAGTTAATCCACAATGAAATTTTCTCATTTGTTGTTATTTTGAGAATTTCTTTTTTAAATGCTCTTTCATGTTTCTGACACATTTTTATTATGCGTGGAACGTAAAATGAAAAATATGTTTTTAACTAGCCAATGCCAAGTTGTCATACCACAGACATAAATAATGGCACATACATTATTCTGAAGCACATACCTACATATTTTTAGCCTTTAGAGAAATGAGAAACTAGTTTGCCGAAATACTAGTTAAATACTAGTATTTTAAGGATAAAATCATGTCAGTTCAAGCAGTACATTTAATAGTTTCTGTCTCCATTTCACGTCAAACTTGAGGGGTTAGCATAAGAAAGAATTAGTTGGATTCTAGTTAGGTTAAGTTGAAGTGGCTGTCGATGTTCATGTATTAATACACTTAGATCATTTACCACGGTGTTTACCGGATGGCAGGACAGCCACCTAGAACTGAAAGAACGTTTTTTCTTCTTTATCGTTTTTACAACGTCTACAGCATCTCCTGAAGCGAACTCCCTGTCTCGTCGCTTGTCACTGACCTGTTAGGACCCCTACAGTTTTAGATATATCTTCTAATTTCAGAGAGTATATATCCCGTGACCTTTTCCTATCCCATTCCGGTCAGATGTCTAGATGTTTTGCAAGTAGCAGCGTGGTTCTATCTTAATTCGGCTGGCACATAAGTAAAGCCTTTAAGTAGCAGTTCGCTTGTAGAAAAGAGCATACTAATGCGTTCTTTGTAGGGAAAAATCGAATTAGACGTGCCTAGCCTGGCAAGTTCGTCTGCCTTATAATTTCCCTCTATGTCCCTGTGACCAGGAATTCAAATGAGAAATAATCTGCTTTGGTTGGCCATCTTCTGTAGAGATCGACGGCAGTCGCGCACAATTTTTTCAATCGCTGTTAGCTTGCCAAACCACTTAATCGCTGCTTAACTATCGCTGAAAAAAGCTCTGTTCTACTTGATATGAAATTGTATTTTTTAACAATTTTCCAGTGTCCAAATCGTTGATTATTCCATGCATATAGCTCGTTTTGGCGAAGAGTGGCTAATGCTGCTGTCTGAAAACCCATTAAATTTATTGGTAAAATATCGATTATCACATCTAAGGCTGCGTTTGGCATAGACTTGAGTGCAACCCTTATGCTGACCATAGTTTGACGCCCTGTTTAACGTAGGCCGCCATACAGCAAGCCCGTATAAGAGTATCGGCCACAGACAAGATGAAAAGATCCAGTGATAGATCATAAACCCCACCTTATTGTGTTGGCTTTCCAGTTCTTCTTCTTGCTCAAAAATTTTGTATTTGTACCGAGGATTAAACCAACTCCATTTAAAGTTGGCTGCTTTATTGTCGGTGCTTTATACCTATTAGTGAATATGATGAGTACTATTTTATTTGAGTAGACGTAAAGTTCAATACGGTTAAACCAGTTAGATACTCTCTGCAGTATACCGTGCATCAAGACGCATAGAGTTTGTGGAAAATTACCTCTACAAGCTATGGCAATATCAATGGCGTAAGTAACGATTCTTGCTCTTTCCCAGTCAGTTCCTGCCAGAAGGGAGTTTAATGTAAGATCCCAGGGCATGGGAGAGTACGCCATCTTAAGGCGTACCTCTGCTCACATAAGGGGATAACTGATTGGATTCTGGTTGACAACTAGTAATTTTCTTTGGCGGATTCCATATGCTTAACGAAAACTTTTATTGTAGTGTATCTAACACACGGGAGCATTTTTCTTATTCTTTTTTTTTTTTTATAAAAATTGTGTATTTTTTATTCCTCATCCTGTGACTTACTTCAATTTTTTGTGACGCACATATTTTTATTGGTTGAAGAGCGTTCAGCATTTTTTATTTCTATACTTTTTATATTTTTTCTATTTTTATTTGTTTTTAAATTAGTTCAGTAGGACGACGTCAAGGTTATTTGGAAAATGAGCGAATTATTTATTCACTCTATTAAAATAATAAATTTATTATATTTGTCTAATAAACAATTATATTAAACGGCTAATAACTTGTTTTAAACTATCGCGTGTGTCTGCTTTTTCAATATTTTTTTTATTTATTTTTTAGTTGATTTTTATTTTGTAATAAAATCTTTATTGGTTTTTGCTGACATTAACAACAATTTTTATTGCTGATTTTGTTGGAACATTTTTTTCTGAAATATTATTATTTATGCAGCTCAAAAATCATTTAGAGCCAAATAAATATTTGTGGAAAATTTGGTTATGACGTAATCACTTGGATTCTATTTATTTAATTTATTGTTTATTTTAAACTGATGGCCAATTATAAGTCAATAGAAAATTGTTTTCAATGGCATGCAAAAGGAAAAAAGATTTGAATATTGAATTTAATTTATAAAATAAGATTGATTTCTTTATACTTTTTTAATAATCTCTTTCTACAAACCCTTGAAAATGAAGTTGCTTTCAAAATGTTTTGATTCTTCTGCAAAAACAGAGGCGACAGGATACTAATTTAGAAAATTGCTTCACATATCTAATATTTATATACTAGTATATATATGTATAAATCTACAAATATATATACAAGGTGCTCCATATTTTACGTCGGTATGTAAACGCTGAATATAGTGAATAGTGACACTTTACAACGAAAACAGTCGTTCCATTGCGTTAACTCAATGTGCATATCGGAAGAAATGTCGCGATAACTAGGCAACATCTGACTTCTTTTTGTGAGATTATCTGAAAAGCGAGTTTGACGCCAACCAGCCTCAAACTATTGATGAGCTCAAGGCGAACTTTCGTGTTGAAATTGACACTATAACACCCGAAATGCTCGGAAAGGTAATGGCAAAAGCAGAAAAAAGGAGTAATTTTATAATTGCTAATAAAGGTAGCCACTTGATTGATATTTTTTTCAAAAACTAGTCCAAAAAAGGAAATTGTAAGTAATCAAACTGACGCTTTTTTTCTCAAAGTTCTTCAATGTTTACACACCCTGTTTATATCCGCATATCTTGAAGAGTTACCGACCGACTGCTATTTACTATTCGAAAAAATGGTTTTTATAGTTCGAAATAGAAACAGGAAGACAACTTTTCTCTCTGGGAAGTGGACTAGGCAGTGAATTTCAATTTACTTGATATGCGGTTCATAGGGAGGGGTTTCGCTTAGATAAACAGCAAGGTTACTTTATTATCGGGAAAATGGACCAGTGAATGACCTATTCGGAAAAATTACATTTATGACTCGATTGACCTGAACTTCTGTATATAATACGCCCAACGAATACTCTCCACATCCGTATAACGTACGGAATTAAACGAGTCATGATTGGCAAACGTTTGGTAATTGTCGATTTATTCAACTACTGAAATTTAGTATTTAAAGAATTTTAAAATTTAAGTGCTGAGAGAAGCAAGAATAGCGATCCGAATAAATGTTATAAAGCCATATAAATAATTACTTAGGGAATATAGAAAGAGGCTAAATGAAACCGAAGAGCTAAACGTGCTGAAAGACATCATTCAGGACTTAAGAACCGACCTGCTGAACAGAACAACATACCGACGGGCTTTAAACGCCATTCAACGCGAGTTAGTCAACATATTCATAAAATCTTTTCTCGTGACTGGCATAGTCGGAGTCTAACCACCATCTATTGCAGACCATTAACTCGTGTTGCGACGAGACACCCGAGTAATACTGGCATATTTACACACTTACAGATGTAGATATTGTAATCGAGTTATTTCCTATTTACCTAGACTATATTATATATCCTACATCCATTGAGTCCCCGTTCGATTCTAATCAGCTCTCTATATATCCTCTGAAGCCAACTCTATCCTTCTGCTCCGAACCCATTTTACTGGAATACAGAATCTCAGTGAATATACACGGACATACGGAGAAAATGAATCCTGAAAACTGAATGTGGAAAGTTTTACTTTTCTGTTACAATTCGTAAAATCGTAAGGGGTTTATACATCGAATCGTAATCGGTGGTGAAAAGTGGGTTCGATCCGATAATCCTATATCAAGAGCAACATGACAAAGTCATCCTCCAACATGACAATGCTTGACTTCACGTCGCAAAAGTGGTCAAAAAGTACCTGGAAACGCTGAAATGGGAAATCTTACCCCACCCGCCGTATTCCCCAGATGTCGCCCCTTCTGACTTCCACCTATTCCGTTCGATGGCACACGGCCTCGCAGATCAACATTTTCAATCCTTCGAAGAATTGGAAAAATGGATTGCTTCATGGATATCGTCAAAAGAGGACTCCTTTTTTCGATCCGGGATTCGAAAATTGCCGGAAAGATGGGAGAAAGTTGTCGCTAGCGAAGGACAATACCTTGAATAATATATCTGTAAGCACTTTTTCGCAATAAAGCTTTTAATTTTGGAAAAAAACGGCGAAAGCAAAGTTGCACACCTGATATGCTAAGAAATTGCGATGCCGACGAATTAGCAAAAAACATTACAATCCTATTCATACAATCTTTCCTCTGAAAGATACCTGCTAAGATCGGCCATCACCATAAAGGTCAATAGCAGATGGTAAGGAGAAACCAGAAAAAACTAAGTCACTATTCCTTCTAAACATAACATCCGGTGTAACTGCCTGGCACTGATTGATGGGGACTCATGGTAGAAGGGTAGGCTACTTCTCTAATGACTTCTGGAACGGCTTCACAGACATAAACGAGGCGGAGACGGTGAGTACTACCTATGCCAATGCCTGAGACCGCTTCCTAGGTAATTAGCGTTAGCATTAAACAAACCAAATGGTTTCAGCATTTAGAAAGGTGAGAGAAATCTCTTCATAACGAGCCAACAGTACTGAGAGCATTCGAGTAAGTTATCCTGTGTTTGAGCAACTTAACCCACTAACTAACTATTACAAAAACCTTGGAATATTGTTTAGAATTTTCTTTGATAATTTTCCATCTCGTATTATCTCCTCTAGATAATTGGCGTTCTCTCAGTGGCCGCCTGCGTTTATGTACTGGAGAAATTCTCAGAAGGCTCAGCTGAACATCTAGAAAAGTTTGTACAACTGGGAGCTGCCGGTCTATTGGTTCTTGCGACATTCGTTGGCTGCTTTGGTGCTGTGCATGGATCTGTTCGAATACTCTGTTGTGTAAATATTATTTGAAATGTTTTTAAGAAATCTTAATTATATTTATTTATGAATATTTACTCATTGATCTTTCTTTCCTAAAATTTAGTACGTCACTATGCTGATCGCAATAATTATATCGCACATATGGAAATTATACCGTTATAACGAAGATAAACAAATTTCAGCCACAGAGAAAATGGTTACTACAGCTTGGATGGATTGGCTGGTGAAGAATGGCGCTATGGATGAGTTACAAGAGACGGTGAGCATATTTTGGTATTTTATAGATATCAAATTCACTGAGACAATATTCGAATTATTTACTTTGAATATTAAACAGTATGAATGCTGTGGTGAAAAGAACAGTTTGGATTATGTAAATTTCAAAATAAAAATTCCCCTCAGTTGTTATCGCACACAGAATGGTTTGCGCATGATTACACCCTATGAAGAGGGGTGCTTAGAGGCTCTAAAGCGCGCCTATCTGGCGGTATATCGGAATGAGCGTTTAGCTCATTCATTATTTATTGGTTTTGAGGTGAGTGTTTGAAATAAAAACAAATTAAAATTAAATATTATTTGTTTTTTTTTATATTTTTTACAGTGCCTAGGCATACTGATATCCTTATTGTTGATCTGCAAGCTACTCACAAAGTCACGTAGATATAGCTATTAGTGAGAGTTAGTTGATATTTACAATAGTACATTAAAAAAATAAATACTTTTATAAACTGTTTACAAAGATATCTATAAATGTTTTGTTGTAGAAATTATTCGGTTGAAACTATCATCGCCATTATGGAGTTCCAGTGGGTCGAAGGAGAAACAAATGGAATCATTATAAAGGACTCTTTATTCGGCTTAGTGGTGTAAAAAAAACTCAGTCTCTAATAGGAAATTATTCTACTGACTTTATTGCCTATTAAACCCAAAATTCAGCACGAAAAAGCCAGCACGCTACTTAGCTCTCACCGAGTCAAAGGCCCATAACCAAATTGAACATATTTGTTAGACGAATAAAGATGGTTCCAGTGCAGTGAATGGGCCTGGTCTCACTGCTTCAAAAATATACTAGAAAAATTAATCTCGGTTAGGTTGATGTGGTTGACGGGCATCGGCACACTAAGGCCACCACTCGGGCGAAACGTGATACCACTGAGAATGCCATTTGGCACCCACCCACTAGGGAAACTAAAATGTGTAGTTAGCGAAACAGATTAATCGAGGTAACTTTGCACCCATTATTTCGCTTAAGTATCCAAAGGTTACCGCCTTTAGAGACTTCAAACAAATCTCCCAGAAATTGGCTTAAGCTCTCAAAACCTTTTTCTCTTTACAATAGCAGCAGTATTTTTTTATGGTATAATTTGAATATCCATGGACAACTATTTTCCTTTAGGGCTCTCTCGAATTTTTCTTATTCCAAGTCGGCTACATTATTCTACATAGTTCTTCTTCATTGGCGTAGACACCGCCTACGCGATTTTATCTTCATAGTTACATTCTAGTAATTTAGCTTATTCTACCTTGAGTTAGCAGCTATGATCAGGTTGCAGACGGAGATCGTCAGAGTCAAGACTCTTCCACGTTTGCCGAAAGCGGAAGGGAAGTGACCTTCTTGTAAGCTCGTCTGCTACCTAGTTACCTGATATGCTACTGTGTCTTGCTACCCATACTAGGTTCAAAGACAACCGCTTGGGAATAGCATTTAATAATCTTCTTTACAGACTCTGAATTTATTGTAATAGATTCCTGGGCGTTCTTCCCCGAGAGTACCATTTGATCTAAGCAGTTGACAGTCTTCTATATGGTCACCATAGGTTTTGTAGATTCCAAGTTCCTTTGCGTAAACTCCATTCCCTATCCAGTTTTTTAGTTTTGACCAATCCTTGTATAAGTGTATCGAGTTTGTATATGCAGACCTATTGGTTTCTCTCTGGAATAATCACTTCGTAGTCTTTCCTGAAGTCATTGAAAACTGTGCAGTTATCCATACTTTTTACGCGTGCAACCCTGAACAGCAGTCATAACTTCTACCTAGAGATGTCGCTGCTGTCTTCTGTTCTCACCGAAGTGACTCTTCAAATATATGGGAAAAGTCCAGTTAGTCTAGTTAGTTCCGTTTAGAAAATCCACCCTTTGCGGAAACCTTTAAAAGGCCAATGTTGCCGGCCTGAGCCCCTTCTTTTGATCCTGAAGCCAGAGCAGCAACACATCATGTGAGTTGTTTATTTTAGTCATTTTTGTGGGGTTCTTCCACAGAGGAATTCCGGCCCTTAATTTGTCCCGACACGAAACACATACTATTCTATCGGAGCAGATACTTTCTATACACCCGGAAGGTTCGACAACCGCAATTACAAAATTTAATTTAATTTTTGATTTAAATTCACTTTCATTAACTTTTGGATGTTCGTCATACCAGGATTTGAACCCTGGCCTTCCGAAGGGCAGTATGCAATGCTTACCACTCGGCTAACACGGCTGCGAATTAAGAGACAACAACTACGGTGGCTGGGCCATTTCGCCCGGAAGAATGAAAACACTTCAGCTTCGTAAGTATCCGAAAAAATGGAAATGGAAAGTTTGGGTGAATAAATATCTGGCTACACTTGGTGTCATCAAATTGGCGCTGATTTGCAATGAAAGGAAAGAATTGTTACGAATATAATTAAGTAGGCGGTGGCTATGTCAAATTAGAAGAAAGAGAAAATAACTTAAAAATTAAGAAAATAAATTATTTCATTAAAAATAAAATTTATAAAAAAAAAGAAATTTATTAAAAATGAAATTTATTAAAAACAAAATTTATTAAAAATAAATTATACTTAAAAATTAAATTGAATTATCTTACTTTTTTTTTTTTGAGACAAAGAGGCATAATACAAATTACTATTCTGCTAATAGAAAATGCGGATTTTAGTACTTGCCACTGTACAATGAGTTTTAAGTACTGTTTTCACTCTCGCTAAGTGAATAAATTTGTGCGAGCGTACGCTTATCAGTTTGTTGTTTGTTTGTTTTTGTAATTTTGTTTTGTTTTGTTTTTTTAGTTAAGCAATACTTGTAGTTTTATTCAACTTCATCTGTCTGCGACGCATTGGAATTTCATTGAATGTCTGCTCAACGACCAATGTGTGTGTATATTTGCTTGTACTGTGGACTAAATATAGACGATAAAATATATAAACAAATTATATGTACGAGTATATGTATTTACATATATAAATTGTTGACTAAACAAGTGAATCATTGTCCATAGTACAACTGGTCCCTGTTTCTTCTTTCAGCTCTCTGTTTATAGTGATTAAGAAAGCTGGTCTTTGTGGACTTGGTAGTGAGCTAAGTTTGGGTATTACTTGAGAAAAAAAAGTATCTAAGGGTTGCAATCGATCTTCGACTGTGATAAAAAGAGCTGATCGTACGAATTTTCGTTTGTTTTTATGAGACTTATTCGACGTATTACGATAAATCGATAAATTTCGATAAACTCAACTGCTCACAATGACACTTTTCTGTCAGCACTGATTAAATGTAAATAATGAGATTGCTCGAAAAAGCGGGAATGAAAGTGAAACTATTGGTATTTAAAAATATAAAAAAAAAACGACTCATGAGAAAGAAAGAAAGAAAACACCTACGATATGCTTTCAACACTTTGGACATGAGAGCCACTGCGCGAGTTTAGCTTTCAAAATATTTTTCTTGACAGCTGTAAATTTTGTTTAGAGATTTAAAAAAAAGTATTTTCGATCACCCAAAGAGGCGTTTTATATTTGGGGACTTGATGTTCCACAACAGATGCGCAGCTTCATGTCAGTCCACAACTGTCACAACAAAACAAATATTTCATCAGCGATCACAACTCACAACGAAATTCCTCGACATTCGATAATCAGCAAAGCTCGAAAATCGAATTTCGCTATCGAAAGATGCTTGTGTTTATATTGTGGGTTAAAATTAATTCGGTTCGCTCACCAAAGTTGTCTCCACTTGCCAGTTCTGACCGATCTTGGAAGCGTTTTCCTATTTCATTGGAAGGGTTTGACATCTGTCAAAAATAATTAGTTCGTGTCAGCATTTTTTGCCTCATCGTCGTACAGCCTTTGCGGAAAGTTTTGATTTCCTACTTTAATTGCAAGAAAAGTGCAGTGAAAGACCAATGAATATTTATGGAAGTTTATGGCGAATCCGCACCGACTGATTAGCCAGACAGAGGCTAGCCTCAAAGCTTCAAAAGTGGAGATTTTAGCTTTGGTAACAAAAAGCGTCTTGGTCCACCCAAAAAGTTTGAAGGTGAGGAATTGGAAACGTGCCAAACGCAAACTAAACTTGCAGAATGATTGGCAGTAACTAAAAAAAAAACAAATATCCGTTCGGTTAGGCCGTGAAAATTGACCAAAAACTACATGGCAACGCTTAAATGACCTTACTTTAACTGCCGTATTTGCCAGATGCAAAATGATTTAGTGGGTCACCGGTTCGGGTCTTTTTCAGAAATCAAAGAATGGCTTAACGATGGGACAGCGGCGCAGAAAGGACGCATTTTTTAGAGATGGTGATCGAAAATTGCCAAATGGAACAAAAATGGTCGCTGCCAATGAAAAATATCTTGAAAAAATTGTATGTATATAAAAATTAAACCAAATCATACTCTCCAGACACTTAAGAAGTTTTCAAAAAATTAAAAAATTTAAATGTATTTGCATATATCTCGAAGAGTCAAAGCTCCGATAAAATTCACTACAAAACCATATAATTTTTCGTTTCTAAATGAGCGTCAGCTATGCCGCTTGTAGCGTTGCTCTTCAGTAAATATCAGATATTGAATAGCTGTTCATTGTAAATCACATTTTTAAGTAAATATTTTAGTTGCTTTTCGCGCTTTGTCGTGAAGCGAATTTTATGCGTGTCTATTGTCGAGGGGACAGTTTCAGTTGAACGAGTGACACCATGCACATCGCACTACATACAAACGCTTAGAAAATTTATTAAACAATATAAAACTTATTAAGCAATTTCTCGTGACGAAATAAAACTTCATTTAAATAAATAAAATACAATGCACATTATAACCAAAAACCAAAAAAATTGCATCAAAAAATTAAATAGCGATTAAACAAAGTTAAAACAAAAAACAAAAAAAAAAAACGAAAAAATCGCAAAAATACTAGTAAATAAATAAACAAAAATATTGCGTAAATAAATCAAACAAAGCAAAACAAAACAAAAATAAAAAAAATGATTTCCGCAACGCCTTTTATTCGACAGATTTACCTGAGTGCCAACACGCTGTGCTTGGTGAGTACTTTGGTCAGTGCGTGAGTAAGTGAGTGAGTGAGTGAACTTGCCATTTGTAGATTTGCAGCTTTGTTTTATCACCAATCTATTCTTTAATTACTTTATTCACCTACTTACATGTGTATGCACCTTAATTATTTATATTTCCTCCGCGTATTACCGTTATTTTGCGTTTACAGATCGTCGGCTTGATTATGACTTTGCTTTGCGTTTTCTTCATGGATTCTGTGCAGAATTTGCATTTGATTTATTGCATATTTGGTCTAATTGTTGGTGCTCTAACGGTGTTCTCAGCTTTAGTGGGCTATCGTGCTATTAAACCGCCGAAAGCGGCTTGGATGTGGTTGGTAAGAATGGTTTTTATTTTTATTTTTATTATTTGGTAATATTTGTTGCTTAATTTACTTAACTCACAGTTCATCAGAGTGCAAGCATTACAAACGTAACCTACTTTTTTCTTTAAATCATAGAAAATAATTTTTCAAAGTGGCCAACAAAAGTATCTGAAAGAAATATCAAATAATTCGGCTGTATTCGATTTGAATAATCTTACCGCCAGCATAAACTCCATTTCTAGCGCTATAAGAAACCTACTAGATAAGCTTAAGTCCACAATGCTTACTGGGGTCAGGCTTCTTCTTTTTCTTGTTTCAGAGTTTTTCTTGAAAACAGACTATATTTAAGTCTCTTTAAGAGGATAATGTTAAAAATGTCTACCTCATTGAGTCGTCTTAGCAATCACCAGGTCTATAGAAAAACCCTCCTCAATTTTGACACGTTTTCTATTTAATATAATAACTCATGTTTCTCCAGTCTTCCTCGTTTGCATCGTTAAATTACGGCTTTTCGACTTAACTAACTTTGTATAAATATATACCAGTATATGTACATTGAAGAGATTTTCAGCCCCACTCCGCCTTCAATTTACTAGGTGCGTCTTGAAGTTTTTCCAAGAAATGGAGGGACATACAGGTCATACTAAGCCCCCTGAAGGGGTGGGGTTTTTATGAGGAGTCTTTTTATTTTTATTTAGAAGGCTTGACATTCCCTCCGGGGTGAAAGCAATCAAATAAATTTTCTACAGTTTTTTAATGTTGGTCGGTCCAGAAATCGAACGCTGGCTTTCGTTCCATTCCATAGATAATTTTTAAATATCGGTAATCGGTTAGCATCGGCGTAGCATAATTATCCACATTGCGATACTTCTTTCTGGAACACTCCATCAACCGTGTTGTCCTTGCTCCCACATGTGAGTTATTGTTTTAAGGTATCTTTCTTTAAGAATTCTTTTGTATACATCACCACCTTGTCATGTCACCACATTTCAAGGTCTACATTTCATTTTTTTCTTATAAAAGTAGGTCCATAAGCATACCTCCGCTTACAACCAACTCAGCATCGTCTCACATTATATATTATGCCGATGCTAACCCCCAGAGCTACCGTGCTTTAAGCCTTTTTTAGCGCTTTGCATTTCTTCAACGTCAGTCCACCGATGTTGATCAACAGTCTGCTTAGTTGTTATTATCTTAGACTCCTTTTCGATATCAATAGGTAAAGAATCTATTTCTGGCCAAAACTCCATACGGTTGGATTTGGATCCATTATGAAAGATGTGACTCGTCAATCGGCTGAAGGTGGGACACTCGCTAAGGGGGTGTTTCAGCGTTACATCATCTTCTGCGTAAGCTCTGCTCTCAAGTTATTCCACATTACTTAGCTTAATTAGCTTACGGAGATGATATCTAAGGGTTGGATGCGGCGTCAATACACCCCATTGGCATTGAATACGTTCTCGTTTGCTTAAAGTTAGTATCAGTTGGGTCTGTCAATAATCCATACTACCCCATAATAATTAAAAGATCTGAGGCAGTCAATGCTGACCACATCGCCACCGATATACGCATATTATTACGCATATCAACTAACAAAATACTGATAGATCTCCCTGCTAAAGCGGTTGCCCTTTTGTGTAATGCCCACAATCTGCTCCTGGGAAGAGGACGGTAGCAGAAGAACCCTTGCAAATACTGTGCCAGCCACGCAATTGAACCCATTAGTATAGATTTGGATATCTTGATTATTTTTGCTGGGTACGCCTTCTACCCATTCTTCAAATCTAGTAAAGGAGTAGTTGGTATGAGGTAGTCCTCATCGCGGTACTTCTTATTTAATATCGCGCACCGCATTAGTACTTCATATGTTAGTATGGGTCCGGCGACACTTGAGTAAGGCCAATGCACATCTCTTCCACATTCCGGCTTTGCTAACCCGGCTTTCAACAAATTTCCTCCAGCTAAGATAATGTCGGAATACTTCACAGAGTTGGAAGGTAATATAATGTTACCTCTTAAAAACCTTTGGGTTTACTAAGGGTCTCTGCCTCTCAACTGAATCAACCGTGATTTTAAGTGATTCTTTATTACCGTTGATAGTCGGTTGAGATGACATGATCATCCGCATAACATACTACCGTTGAGTTTGCTGCCCTAAGTAGTTGGAGTATATGATTTAGTAACACAAATAAGCGGAGTGAAGATGCCCCCTTGTGGTGTGCGAAATTTGATTTTGTGAAGTTTGCCCCTGAACGTCGTTTAACGTTAGATAATACTCTTCATTTACCATCTTATTTTTGGCGAGAATTCTCAATGCACAATGCTGCTTTGTCTATTGAAATCCCAGTCAACGTAATCTTGACTTTGGGGCAGAAGCTGTCTTATAAACGTGTGGTCGGACTAAACTCATTCTATCATGTCTCCAGTGAGCTTTACGGGATGTTTTTTCGGAAGAGGGTCCATCTGAAGTAGTGGTCATAGAAAATTCTGTGGCTATGTTGTTTCAAAATGACTATTTTGTGCTGCCATTTTTTTCGTTGTTAACTTCAGTTGAAGTCGTTAATGGCCGATCAGAGCGTGGCAAATCCTTCCCCCTTCGGGCTTTTTAAAAGATTTATTCCCGATGTTTTAATGACGCTGTAACTATCGTTTTCCCAAATTATTTTCTACGTCCTTCTGCTGTAATGAAGTAGCCCGGAAGGGGCGAGAAATATTTATCTAATATTTTGAGTTTGCCCTTACGAAATCGACTTGCTTGAGTTCAGAGGTCTGTTTTCGATTAAAATGAGAAAGATTTTTTGTTACTAAGACTTAACTGAGGAATTTTTCCAATTTACATATGTATTTATTAGCCCACAAATTTTTGCAAATATTAATTTAAAAAAAAAAAACAAAAAAATACCGGGGTGGTAATTATATTCATTTTCTCTTATTTCCTTTAAGTATTTTGCTTTACTTGCAATTTTATTCGCCATCCAAATGTATGTGGTAATACAGTACGAAGCCTCCAGCATAGTTGCAACGACACTTGAAGAAGTTCAATCGCTGTGGAAAAGGGAATTGGTGAAGGAAGGCCCAATGGCTGATATTGAAAGTCGGGTAAGTACCGGATTACAAAAAAAAAAAAATATGAAAAATTTATTTAATGTTTTTATATTATATATGCATACACGTACTTAGTTATTTACATGCAAATTTAAATAGAGCTACCAGTATTGAGTCATTCCATACTCGCTCGACATTCGTTCATTGATGAACAGCTCAAATGTTTATTTGAAATTTTTCAATACTCAATTTTGTTTGTCAAAATTTCTTTGGTATTCCAATGATTTTTACACTTTGCATAAATGATTTTAAAATAATAAAAAAAAATGCAGAAAAAATTTAAAAAAAAGCTCAAATTGCTCGAGTTCTTACTCAAAAATTTTCAGTGTGAGAGTATTTTTGTAAAAATTTTGGAATTGCTCGAAAATGTTTGAATAAAGTCTGGAGCTCTAATTTAAATACATACCTACATATTTACATACATATATGTTCAATATATAATTTTATTAAAAAAAAAAATGTCTGTATTTCAATTCCTTAGGATTTTTTTTACTCTTTCTGTTAGGTTATCACTTCACCTTTTCAATGTTTTCTTTACTTCTCCAGTTTCATTGTTGCGGCTTACATAATTCCAGTGATTACATAACTTTGAATTTGCCACTGCCTGCGAGCTGTTTTTACACGGAGAACAATGCCTGGACTAATTATAATGAGGGTTGTTTGGAAAAGGTGAAATTTGCCGCTGATAGAGCAAGTAATGCTCTGTCTTTCACGGGTTCTGCCTTAGCTGCAGCGCAGGTAAATATACTACATCGAGAAGCATTTATAATCTGATAAGTCCTTTCCGCTTTGTAACCGCTGAAGAGATTTTCGGCCGAGCTCCTCCTCCAATTTTGTGGTTTTGCGTCTGGATGTTTTTTTTTTCCAACAAATGGGGGAGCTACAGTTTATACTAAGCCGAATCCGAATCCGAACGGCGGATGGTTGGTTTTTTTAGGAGGAGCCTTTATTTCATGTCAGAAATACTTCCGAGTGGCGACCGCTATTAGAAAATTTAATTTAATTTTCCATAACTTTTGTATATTGGTCGCACCAGGATTTTAACCCGAGCCTTCCACCCACTAAGTTCCTCACGAGGCATAATACTCAGCTCACTTTGCTTTATGCTATATATTCTATAATATTCCATACGAAATATTTTGTTCTATTCAAAACTATACCCGTTCACTTCGTTGAATAGAGGGTGGCGAAGAGCGCATACATAGCCGAGTAGTTTTAAATATAATATACGACTTTTTTCTTAACGAGGCCGGTCAAAATAACCGAGGGGTTAGCAGTGCAATACATACTGTCATTCGGAAGGCCAACGTTGGGTCCTTCCAACACCCAGCACTTATACAATAGAAAATTAACATAAATAAAAAATTAAGTTAATTTTTTAAATTGCGGTTGCCGCTCGGTGGAGAGGGCCAACCCCTCTGACTGTGTATCTAGCATGAAATAAAAAAGTTCCCCAACGAATTTGTTGAGGAGTTCGGCCGGAAATCGGTTTGAATGAATTATTTTAAACAAACAAAAAAAATTACGCAATTATTGGAGATCGATAAGTGATTTTCGCTTGAGTCAAGAGTTGGCTGCTTATTCTCTTAAACAGGTCCTCAGATCTTTGTGGAGTTCATCATTTGTAGGATACTTAGGTAGTGGGAATTTGAATGATTAAGTTTTTGTTTGAAGTCTTTGAAGAATTTATGAGCTATATTCTTTTATTTTGAGTAGAACATTGATAATGAGGATTAATAAGTAAATGTAGATTTCTCTGTTCCAAGCCGAGAGTCTGACGTTTTGTAAATATGTGAGATCTCCATGAAAGTCTTCTAACCAGATATATTAGTTGTTGTTGAGAAATACAATATAAATCATAAAGCGTGACGAGTGGACAGATTTTTTTTAGCCAATTAGTTTAAGGTAGAGGCATAATTAGTAGAGCAACCAGTGCTTGAATAGTAATACCATCAACAAAAGTATAAGGGCTCATGACGTTGTCTTTGGGTAGCTTGGAAGACCTTCATTAATTCAATGCCTGTTTTCCAGATAAGTCACAACAATTAATTGGGAGAGTCTTTTTTTATGGAACTATTTTTTCCACGTTTTGGCTTAGATGTAATGTAGCCGTGATTCGCTGTATGCACATACGACAGGTATTAGTTCGCTGCTCCAGGCGTCATACCTAAACTTATTGAAAAAATTGCATGACTTGAACCAACGGATAGGCCGATATTGTGGTACCATTTTGAGTAGAAAAAAAATTAAAGAACTTTGAAGGGACTGAGTCAGCTATAGATCCATTCCATCTCATTAGCTGAGACTTTCTTACTACACATTGTGGCGTATTTTTCTCTTGAACTTACAGCCCCGTATAAAGTCCAACGCACGAAATTTTCTTCAGCACATTTTCACTCGGGGGTCTACGTAGGTAAATAAAACTATCGCTCTTGGGGCTCTGAAAATCCACAACCTTGTCTTCAAAGCTCTGCTTATAGAATTCAATATTATCGAATGCTTAAGTCTATCATATGCATCACGCAATATTGTTCTGGTACTTTCAGCACAGATTGTGAAATGTGGGAGGATGCACAAAATAATTTAATTTCAAACATTATATCTTAACTTAAATTTTAGAGGCGGAGATCAAATGTATTTTGATAAAAAAAGAACATAAAATGCTTTCAAGCAAAATCAAAATAACGGGTGATCCATTCGAGGCTCCCTACTTTTTTTAAAGAAAAAAAAAACACAGATGGGAATTCGAAACGTTCTTTGGCATTTATTTTTTGAAAACTATCTCTTTCAAATATTGCCGGCGGCTATATCTCAGATGGTCCATGCGGTGAGTTCAATTTTCGATGACTCGTTCGAACATTTCTACTGGTAACTGACGTATGACACGAGAGATGTTTTGCCCCAAGGGCTGAATCTAAGCGGATATGTCCGCATATACTTTAGACTCTACATATAACCACAGTAAAAATTCCAACGGTGTTATACCACACCATCTTGGTGGCCAATCGACCGGCCCAAAATGTGAAATTAACTGCTCACCAAAGTATTCCCTCAATAAATCTATTGTTCAAGGGATGTATGGGAAGTAATCTTGTTGAAACCAATTGTCGCCGAGATCACAAGCTGCAGTTCCAGACATCAAATAGTTGGCTATCATGCCACTATGACGGTCGCTATTGACTATTACGTTCCAACCGTCATCATTTTTAAAGAAATATGGACCAATGATTTCACACCAAACCGCTGTCTTTTCTGGAGGAAATGGCAGCACTTGAATATCTTCCAGATTGCTCTTCGTCTCATCGCTGAACAAAATTTGGCTGGAAATCTTTTGGAACTTTTCAAGATGCCCTAGAGCGAATCGATGTCACATGGAAAGGCCGAGCGGCTTCAGTTCATGCATTTGCTGTATTTTCTATGCCAAGTCGCTCCATATATCAGTCCGAGTTGCCGCGAACGGTGCTGGCTCGAATCTCTACGGTATTCGTGTACAATTTCAGCTGCGGCCGCTATATTTTCCTCATAGCGTGCTGGACGTGATCTATTCGTTCAAAAATTTTCCAATTATAAATGCCGGGTCTCAAGATGGGTGATGGTGTTGCGAATACTACGCTCAGTATGCCGATTATGTTGATTATAAGTTGAGCGAGGCGCGCCCGTTATTTATGTACTTGATGAAAAATGATTTACTCATATGCAGATATTAAATTTTTTTATCATTTTTATTTCAGCTCGTGGCACTGGTGTTTTCATTCATACTGACACTGTTATATCATCGAAGAGGAGATTATGAAATTCTAAGTTAATAATTAATATAGATCTGTATTGTTTATCATAGAAAGAAAGTCACCGAAATAACCTTAAACCAATATATTTTCAGTATTCCTATAAAATTATATATTATCTACTTTATTAAGTATTATACTTTTTCATAATATGCATGTATAATACAATTTTCATATACAATAAGCAAAAATTATTTCAAAAGAAAATTATTTTTATATGAAATGCATGCGTACATTACACAACATACATTACATAAAATCTATTTACTATAATTAGAAATTATGTACTTTTATTGCTAGTACATACTTACATACATAAGTATCTACAATGAATTTGTGACAACATAAAATTTGCTGGTACATTTCTTAATATTATTTATCAATATAATAGTATGATAATGTACAAATTAATTAATTTTTCAACATATACATACATACATATGTATTTATAATATAAAATTTATATACTGCCAAATTTTATTTGGGAAATATATAATAAATTTTGATCAGACTTTTGTGTTAAATTTTGATTCCGATTTAGATTAGTTCGACAGCAGGTGCGTTCGCGAATTACAGTGGTTGATACGTTGTGCCGGCTCTGGAGCCACATAACCATCCTCGGCATTCGGTATGGGAGCTGAGCGAGAACGCCGAAAGAGTAAAATGCTCAAAACACATGAATAAAGAAAGACTGCGCACTGCAGAAGAAAAAAACGAAAAAAAAAAAATGTTCAAATGAAATATTTAAATATTTTATAAGGTCTCTTGTTTTTTATTTATGCATGCGTTAGCCCTACTTACTTCACTGATTAATAATGACCAGTTGAAAATATCTTCACGCTTCATTGTGTTGTGGTACGACGTTTCCAGCGCCTCAACACAGCCGCGCGGGAATAAATTCAATTCAAGCGTGGCATTTTGATAACGATAACAACTCGATGGCGTCTCCAGATGTCTGTATTTGTAGTCATTGGCATTGTAGAGACCACAGCAATGATACTGTTGATGATAATGAAAATGAGTTTAAGTAATAAATTTAAACAAAATGGGATGCAATGTTATTAAGCTACATAAATATGTTTATAGAATTAAAATAAAATAAAATGTTTAATATAAATTTAATAAATATGAAAATAAAAAATATCAAAAATAAAACTAAATAAAGGAAAAAATATTAAAATTAAGTTACTAAAATTTTTTTTTTAAATTAATAAGCATAAAATAAAAAGTATATATATTTACAAATAATACATAAAATATAAAATTCAATTAAGAAAGAGTTAAAGTGTTATGAAATAGAAATAATAAAAAATAAAAAACATATTAGTTATCATAAAATAAAAATATAGTTATTCATGAAATAATTTAAAAAAAAAATTAAAAAGTTAAGAAACACAAAATAAAGTAAATTAAGTATATAAAAATAAATAAAAAATTATGATAAAATGAAAACAAAATTAAGTTAAATTCAAATAAATATAGTAAAGTAAATAAATTAATAAAAAATAAAAACTAAAGATTAAATTAGTTTATATTAAATTAATAAGCGAAAAATAAAAATATAAATAATTTACAAATAATTAAATATAATAGTGTACATAATGTTTTATAACAATAAATAATATAAAATTAAAATAAAAAAAATTATAAAAAAAATTGTATGAAATAAAATATTTTAAGATAAAATGAAATAAAATTAAATTAAATTAAGTAATAAAAAGCCGAAGATCAAATAATTCATGTACATAAAAATAGAACAGTAAAAAATTAAATCAATTGTAAAAATCCAGAAAAAATAGCACGAAGAATGAAATAAAGTAAAATATAAAAATTAAATGTATAATAAAAAATAAATAAAAAAAAATTCAATAAAATAAATTAAATCAATTAAAATTTAATTGAATTAAATGTAAAATTGTACCACAAAATTATTATATATTAAAAATTAATTCATATATTTTAAAACAACATTTATTTGACAGAAACTAAAATCAAATCAAATAAAATTATAATTAAAAATAAACAAAATAAATATCCATAAATGTATTATAATAAAATAAATTAAAGAAAAGGAATATATCAAATAAAATAAAAAAATTTAGCTGAATTAATATAAAATAAAATAAAATTAAATTCAAGATTAATTAAACACAAAACCATAATATAATATAAAAAATAAAATTCAATAAGAAATAAAAGTATATAAAAATGTAATAACAAAAATTATGTTTAAATAAAATAAAATATTCAATATTAATAAAAATAAACTAAATAAAATAAAATAGAGAAATCTGAAATGAAGTTCAATAAAATTAAATTTAAAAATGAAAAAATTCATTAATTAATTTAAAAAATTGAAAAAAATATTTTAAATAGACTAACAAAATATATTAAATTGAAGTAAATAAAAAGATAAAATATTACAAAAAAATAACAACAAATAAAATTAAAAACTAAAAATAAATATCATTAAAACGTAGAAAATAATTTCAAATTATATTAAAAAATTACAATAACAAATTAAATTAAAAAAGTCAAATGAGCAGTAATAAAATAAATTTTAATGATATTTATATTGAATAAAAAAATAGAAAATTTAATAAATGTATTAAAATAATTTAATATTAAATTAAAAATATAAAATTTAATTGAATAATATATGTAAGGTATATAAAATAAAATTAAAATAAATTTGAAATAAAAATATATATTAAATAGACTCTAAGAAGCATAAAAAATTTAAATAAAAAGATAATATATATTTACATGTTATGTATTATACTTTATAATAAAATAATTAGTTATAAAATTAAACAAAAAAATTAAAAATATTAAAAAAGTTTCAAAAAGAAAGTAATTTCAAATTATATTAAGAAATACAAGAATAAATTAAATTAAATTAACCATAAAATAAAAATATATTAAGCTAAAAAATTCAATGAGCAGTAATAAAATAAATTTATATTAAATATAAAATAATAATGAAACAAGAAACTTACAATAAAATAAAATAAGTCTAAGCAAAATGATGAAATAAAAAAATAAATAAAATAAAATTATCTAATACAGTTAGTTTACAGTTAAATATAATAATATGAAACATTTTTAATTCAATAAGCTGAAATAAAAGAAATTTAATTTAATTTAATTAAAAATAAATAAATAATTAATAATGAAAAAAAAAACAACAAAATAAAATTAAATAAAAAAAAATAAACAACAAACAATCATAAAATTTGACTAATTCCAAAAACCGTATACAATAAAGTAATATTAATTTAAGAATGTTAAATATTTAAAGACATTGAAAAAATAATAAGGAAAGAAAAAGCATATAAGATAACTTTAAATTAAATGAAATAAAACTAAATTATGAAATTATATTAAATAAAAAAGTCGCATACAATAAAATAAAAATAAAAATTATTTAAAAGTGTTGAAAAACTAAAAAATATAAAAAAAATAAGAAACATATAATAAAACTAAATTAAAATAAAATAAAATGAAATAAAACGGAGCAAAACAAAAATATAAATAAAGTAAATATAATTCAATGTAAGACAATAAAAAAAAGGGAATCAGCCGAAAATAATATTTTATAACTTATTAATAGTTAAAAAACAGAGAGTTGCTAAGTAAACTTGCTTATTTATGGGATATCCCAATTGAAATTCACTCACATTTATCTCCACCGCCTGCATCGCCATTGGATCCTCATCCACATCATTCCAAGCATCCTCCAGCAGATCCAATGCATTTATGAAAAACTTCTGATGTTTATATGTTTGCATTTGCAACAACTGCGTGGCCAATAGCATCAGCATAAAGAACGAATACTACAATGAGCGCGTATTTATTTGCAAAAAAACAAAATTTTATAAACAAAAGAGTAAACAAATAGTAATTGTAATGAAGAATAAGTGGAAAATAAAGAAACAAATAAAAATAAACCTACTATCACATTGACACCCAGCGACTCACAGACGACGCTATAAAAGCCAAACAGCGTGGCCATGCATACGAATGAGCCCAAAATGATGCCCACAATGCAGTATGTATGCTCATCCGTATTCGGGATTGCAAACTCTAAGCCGAAAATATTCAGGCAGACAATACAAATGCCCAATAACTGTAAAAGAAATTGTCATACAAAATGGTTATGTAAATAAACAAAATATATGATAATAAATAGGTCATGCACTAATACGAATTGAGTACAACAACAACGAGCGCAAAATACTTTGTTAAATACCAACATTGTATGGTCGGTCGGTTGGTCAGTGGCAGAAATTTTGCATACCAACGCTTTTTGTTTATTTGCTTTCCAAGTATTTTTTTCATGTTTTTTTTTTTTTGTTTTCGCACTATTTACTTACCAAACTAAAGAAATTGAAAGCGAGTACGAAACACTTGACGGCCGAAAAAATTACACTCATTTTTATTGACTACTACTGTGGTGGATTTTCACTAGACTGCCGTGTAAATAAAAAATTATTATTAATTTGAATTAAATTGAATATTCAAAACGATTTGTTTGCTTACGCCTCGGAGCATTAACTGAAATCGCTGTCAGAAAGTTGTATGTGAAGCAAATAAATATTGAATATTGCTTGTTGATGACACAGGGCGATATTTCTTATTTTACACTATTTTTTTTATTTATTTATTTATGCCCAACGCACATTATGCTGAGCAGAGTGGCGCTATTGTGATTGGATGTGCAAGGTGGAATGTTTTAGGTTAGCTATGCTATGAAAACGGAGTATCAGGATATCATTAAATTAGTTTATTTTATTTGAGACTATTTTGCTGTAAAAAGGGTATTCTAACCTCACTTTTGTGATGAGTTCATTTTTTTGTTTAAATAACTTTTTAATAACTCATTTTTATTACAACTTAAAGTCTATTTAATAGCGTACCATTTCGGAAAGTAATTTCATTTAATCTCAATATTATTTAAATATAATTCGTTATTAATGAAACACATTTTGAAAATAATCTTAAAATATAAATAAAAATAGTAATTATTTTTTTTTAATGCCGCCGGCTAGCATTTGGCTTATTGGGCCTCGCTCTTCACACAAAAATAAATAAATAAATGAAAATATATATTATTGTATTTTCCCCCCATTATATCAAGTAGCGCATGTTAATGAACTTCATTACTGATAATGAGTAATATTAATATTCCATACACTAACAAATACAAATGCATAAAAGATTTGGCAGTAAAACATTTGGTTATTAACACGCTAAACGTTCAACGCTCGTTTGCATAAATGTGAGCATATTGAATTATTAGATTCATAGCATTCATAAAAACATTAAACAAGTACGCACAAACATATGTATATACCCACTTGTGTATATGCATGTACATACATATGTAATAATAATTAAATATATTAAAAATGATTTAATGCCAAAGAGTTTATAGTCCGTTGGAAATCAGTGTGAATGAGTGTAAAAAAATATATTAACTAAAATAAATTAAAAATAAATGTAAAGCAAAATTAATTAGAGACATTCTCTTCAAGTTTATTTGTGGACAAAATAATAATTTATTTAATTTTACTAATAGCAGTAGCACAGTTCATAAATAGCAGCGTTAGCAATACAAATTTTCAGTTTGAGTTTGAGTTAGTAGTTTAAATACAGTAGATACTCATTTAACAAGTTTAGCAAGATTATCTATTTTTTTTTCTCTTAATTATACACTAGTAGAACTTACAAATAAATTTATATAAATTAGTTTTATTTGTTTAATTATGCAAAAGTTGCCGCATAAAGTAAAAACGTTTTTTTTTTTGTGTATACAAATTTTCGTGTAAAACTCGTGTTAAAATAAATAGTTGATTATAGTTTATAATTTAGTAAATAACTACATTAGAAAAACAGGTATTTAGATATATTTATATGTAAATATATAAACATTGAGTGGGTAAAGTATTGATGATGTTCATTGGTGGTTATTGTTCTTGTTGATTTTTTTTTATTTAACTTCGTTTTGTGTTTTTCTTTCAACTGCGCTCGTTCGTTGGTGGTTTAATTATTATAAATATATTTGTGTTCTCAATTAAGTTTGGGCGTTTGTATATGTGTAAGAAAAAAGAAGTTATTTCTTCTCTAAATTTTTTTTTTTCAAATAAAAATAATATATTTATATCACAAGTACACTTCGCAAGTGTGACTAACTACAATTTCTTTTTTGTTCCTAATCAACGTTCATAGCACTTTTATGCGTCTCTTCTACTAAAAATCTCGTTTATCTGATTAATTCTTAATTTTATCCTATAATTGTTTAATTTAATTGGCATTTTTTTAATTGCTTGTGCGCACTCCGCTTTTGCTTTTTTTTTAGCAAATGAGCGCGCACAAGTATGTATGTGTGTGTGTGTTTATGTGCTTGTTTTAAACTTTCCATGGCAGTGGTATAAGACCCCACTTTTGTGTGATGTCTTTGTAATCACAATTAATGGCAACAACGATTTTCTCCACCTTATTTGTGCGTGGCATTTTGGCTGCCTTCAGTGTTAGGCAAAGCTTGGAAACGCGATGCGAAATGTGCTGAGTCTGCAAAGAAATTAATGAATAGAAGAAAAAAAATAAATAAATAAATTAGCAAAAAATTTTGTTTTTGCGGTAAAATTTAGCAAATTATTACTCACATCCATGTCGTAATTCCAAAATTGCCTTGGATCGTCCAAGCATTGCGTCAGCTGTACATTCGATGTTAAATTACGACTCTTCAACTGCTGTATGACACCCAATTTCGGTTCACTATATGTCAGGCAGACATTATCATTACTCATTATTTGCCCCTTTGGCGTAATGACATACATATCCATGGATTTACTATGCACATTACAATCTCCCACAGTGACCGATTGCACAGATGAACGCGGCATTTCCTTTTCCAACGGCCGCAAGCACTTATCACGATCCAAATCGATAAGCGACATAAATTGTTCGGCATTATTATCGATCTCATCGAATATGCGTGGCCATTCACGTGACAAGCGACGCCCGGGTATATTCTTCATATGCTTGGTGTAGGCCTGTGCACACTCGGTCTCACCATCAAGCCAAATAATTTTACCAAAGAAGCGATCTGGTGCCGGAAAGAAATGCTCCGGCCAAATGTGCTCCAAATACCAAGAGAATGGCTTACACTTGAGTTTTTCGCGTAGTGTTAGGCGTTCGCTGACATCAATGCGTTCACGTGTTTCCAGCGATAGACCGGATGTGTAGAGTAGTACAAAATACTGCCAATCATCCATCCAAGTCATGGCTGCGCGTGCTAAATTATTGCCCAACACTTCGCTCATGCCGCCGGGGAAGGTGTACGGCGTAGTGCTACGGAATACGTGGCCTACATGTGAACAGGGACAAATTTCAATGCGTCCACCACATTGCCAGATGCGAAAGGACATCTCAACATTTTCGCCGCCCCAAATCTGGTGGGTAGTTATAAAACAAGTTCATTACAATTTCTTTGTTTCATTGAGATTAAACATACCCGCATCTCTCTATCGTAAGCGCCAATCTCATAGAAGTACCGCTTATCCACCGCAAACAGTCCACCTGCCATTGCTGGCGAGGCAATCGCTTGCGTCGGATCACCATTAGCCGGCGTTACGCTGCGTTTATTGCCAAACCAGCGAAAACTCAGCTGCCAGTTGAATGCGCCCCAATGGTTTTCAAAGGTTTTCGTATAACTAAAATTATCATCGGATATTATATCTATAACAGGCGCCACCACACTACTACGCGACTCTTTAACGCGCTGCAACAATGGTTCCAACCAGCCACGTGTACACTCGCAATGCGCATCTAAAAATGTCAAAACATCACCTTTGGCATGCTCAGCGCCGAGTAGGCGTGCTGGCACTAAGCCGCCGCGTTTCTGTATGCGCAACAAGCGCGTAGGCACCGTAAGTACTTTGATATAGGCCTCCAATTGCTTCTTCAAGTAAGCTGTAAAGTAATTAAAAAACATTTACGGTAAAAAAAACTTCAAAAAAAAAGTATATAAAACTGAAAAAAAAACATAAAAATATATTCAAAAAAAATATATAAAAATGAAAAAAAATAAATAAAAAAATATATAAAAAAAAAAATATGAGAAAAGTATACGAAAATGGAAAATATATAAAAAATATATAAAGATAAAAAAAAATATATAAAAATTTATAAAGGCTAAAAAAAAATAATGCATTTAAAAAAATTAATTAAAAAATTAAAAAAATATATAAAATGAAAAATAGCTAGCTAAATAAAAAAATTATAAAGAAATGTATACAAAGTATGTAAAAAATTATAAAAAAATATATAAATAAAAAAAATATATGTATATAAAAAAAAAAAAATAAAAAATATAAAAACAAAATTAAAAATATAAAAAAAAGTAAAATATATGAAAAATATTACAAAGCATAAAAAAATTAAATTAAAATGATACATAAAAAAATTATAAAATGATATATAAAAAAAATTATAATATATATATTTTATTAAAATTATCCAAAACTATATAAAAAAATTATAAAAAAATTATAAAAAAATATATAAAAAAAATTTATAAAAATAAATATAAAAATTACAAAAATATATGAAAATGAATATAAAAAATTTCATATAAATATATAAAAAATAGTAAGTAAATAAATATATGTTTTATACAGTCAAAAAGGTCAAATGTAAATTGTGTTAATTGCTACTTTGCGACAAAAGCCAACAAATTAGTTGCAGACATGCAAAATACACGAGCAATGCAGGTGCTGATGACACTTACAGCGTTCGCTTGCATCGTCCACCAATATGATTTCTTTGAGTAGTTTACGCGGCGAGCGATTGATAACACTGGTTATTGTGCGCAATAGCACCGACCAAGCCTCATTATGGAAGACTATAATCACCGATGTAGTGGGCAGTTCATTGTTGATATATTTCTTGTCGCGACACCTGTAATGAAGACAAAAAGTTAAACGAAAACGAAAATCTAATTAAGTGTGCGCGCAAATACAAATGATTTTATGTTTATGATTGTTTGGAGATTTTATGCCTTGTCAGCGCGTCTCATGGTCAATACAAACATATATTTTTGTGCATGCTTATATGTATGTATGCATATGAATGAGGGCATATTTATACATAGACCGCTGGGCTTAAAATATGTTGTTTTTCCATTTTTAAATGGTAATAATACGAATGTTTGTTTAGGTCTGTTATTATTATATGCTTAATTGTTTATGGTCATTGGTTTGCACTTATGCACTTACTCTTTTATTCTGTAATCTTTTAACGTACGATTCAAGGGTATACGGTCACTGGCCAGTATGTTAAAGCTGTTTAGCCTGAAAAATCGCTGCATGCGGAAGCTCTCGCGCGCTGGCACTACTACCGGTCGTCCATCAGCACCTTCGCCATCAATTGGATTGAAGAGATTTACATTGTAGTCATCTGCAAAGGTTGTTAAAACATATGTATTTACATATATTTATGTAGAAAAGTTGTTAAATGAATGCTGATAAGTTAGCCTACGTATATATGTATGTATGTGCATAATAAATTAAATTAAATAAAATAAAAAAAAATAAAAAAAAAAACAATTTTGAAATAAATAAACAAACGGTTTTGGCATTGCAGTTTAAAGTTATCTTTTCAGTTTTAAATTCTGTTTTAAGTGTTTTTTAAGTCTGTCTACTTACCTGCGGTCATATTTCCGAAAATATCGCCTTTTCCAATGTAATGTGCCACTATGTTTTTCGGATGCCAGAGCGAACGACGTCGCGGCTGCGGTTTCGGATGGCTAAGCGTTGCGTATAATGATGATTGCGAATGCGCGCGATAGCCATAAATGGAGTAAAGAAAACAAGAAAAAATTCATGAAAAAACATTAAAAATTTACATAGAATTGCTAAGTAGTAGTGGAACATAATAAAACCAAAAATAAAATAAAGGCGCTCAACTGTGATGGTCGATTGCCACAGTGCAAAAAGAACCAAAGAAAAAGTCGCTAAGAAGCGTAACTGATTCATAAACTATCGTTGCCGAAAATCGCTGCTTTAACGGTTTTTAGCTACAACATGGCAGCTTTGTTAGCATTTTTGTGCGCTATATATGGCTCATGGTCCACTTTTACAACTTAAATATTTTAAGTACACAAATAGTTTATTTTATGCCTATATATCTACACATACTTACACCTCGTCCTGTCCAATTCCTTGTATACTGGACACATATAGATTGATACTTAGTGCGAACATAAAGAATGCAAAGAACAGTAGAAACAGGTATAGCAGCCATAGCTTCTTCAATTGTTGGAATCTCAAACCCATTGTTAATTACAATTTCCTTATTCTTGCTGACGTTAGTAATGTTTATGCTAATCTTATTGTTGTTGTTCGTTATTAATGACCACTTTGTCAGCGCGTTTGCTTTGTAATGAAATGATGTCTTAGCGGTTTGAAACAGACTGCTGTTGCCAGTTGTTGCGTCGTTCAACTACCAACAGTTGCTTGGTCAAAACGTGAATGAGCTGTGAGCGTTGTTAGCGGCTTGTTTTTGTTTTGATTACAATAATATATTCATATAAACGAGATTTCGTTGGCAGCGTGTTTGTAGTGGTGCTAGTGATGATGGTGTTGGTGGAGCGGTTGTTGTGGCTAATTTCTAGTTGGTCAATTGTTTGGCTGGTTGGCTAGATTTTGCTGGTAACTGCAACTGCCACTGCTATTGCTCTCTCAGATGCAGCTTTCGCGTGCACAATATGCAGCAATAACAAATTGTTAGCTTACTTCATGTTTTTCCGGTACACTTTTGTTTATTAAGCCGCAAAATTATGTGGCGAATAAATAAACTACACAAAAAAATATTGACAAATCAATTCTGTTTGCAAAACCCGTCTGTTTTGTTGTGCAAACGTAAACAGTTGTTGATGAGCCATCGCACAGAGTTGCATTAGGTTAATGAAGAATATGTCTTGTGAGCTTTTAACAAAGAACGTATATGAACGTATTTTATATACGCTCTTTGATTAAGTTTAATTTTTGCTAACGCAGAATATAGTATGATAGTGAATCTTAAAAAAATGTATAAATATTTCAGTACTTTTTCTTGATTTCTTATTGCTTACATTGCTAAAGGTGCATTGACGTTTTGGAACGTCTAGTGTAGAAATAGTACTATTGTGTAGGTTACAGACATCATTAGCTGTGTTTAGTCAACACTAAGAATTTATTAAAACCAGTATAAACTACATTGCATACATTTAGGCGCTTTAAAAAATATAGCAGATAATTTTGCTTCAGAAGTTTTATTCAAGTAAAAAGTATTGCAAAATTTTGAAAGTGGGTCTAAATTAATTATTTGTTTGTATGTAAAATTAATTAAAAATACATTTATGCATGCATACAATAAAATAAGAAAAATATAAACAAAAAATTTATATTGATTAATTATTACAAAATAATTATTTGATTTCAGTACATCTCAGAAATTTGTTACAAATCTTTGGTTTTTATTGTTTATTTAATTAAAACATGAAAACAATTTAACTACTTTTAAATAGCTTATTTCAAATACTGTACAGTTATAATTATAATCTTAGTTAAAAGTCACATTACTGCTAATAGTAACGTCGCCTTTCCATATTTTTGAAATTAATGCCCAAAATACATGCGACAACAATTGTAAGACCCTGAAAATATAAAAAATATTATATTTTTTTTCTAGCATTTTTTTTCTAAAAGTATAAATATTTTTAATTACCTCAACGCCCACCAAAGTCCAATCGCTGATCACTTCAATTCGCGAACCATTTGTGAAGGCCAGCGCCAACTTATCAATACAGCCGGCAGTGTAGAGATCATTGGGGATCGATGGTTTACGATTGAGATAACAACTTGGTGGTATGGTGAGACCGCTATCGATGTAATCATTCGGGCCAGTTTTACCACAGCAATCGTACTGAAAGAGGTTGATTAAATTTTGGAATTTGGAATTGAAAAACCGAGTTAAAAATAGAAAAAATTAATATTCGTCATGCAGAGCAGAGATTGGAAAATTTTCCGTAAATATCCGAACTCTTATAAGTTCTAAGCCATACCGCCCGATGAAGAAAGCTCAAACTAATATTAAGCCGTCGCCCCTCGTAGACGGCTACTGTTAATTCAGTTGTTGTTGTTGTAACCGCAAATTATTCCCCGAACTGGTTTCACAGGTTTTGACAGTCCTTGGCCGGATAAAAATCCGGGTCGTTCCGGTATAAAGACCCGACTGTCGCGTAAACTATTGGAATTTAGTGGCCTCTTACGACAGGCATGCCTTACCACGGAATAATTCTTGAGCCCCTAACCCGCTGGGGTTACTGCTAATTTAGTCGAATCGGTCTCTTAGTTTGAAAGCAGGAGTTCGCTTGAAATTAAGAAAAGTGAAAAAAGCAATATCATGTGGCTATGGGACTTATGTTCAAGGAACGCTGGATGCGATGAATGTAACAGATGTGCCTGAACAGGTTTCTGAAAGGAGAACCTCGTTGGTAGCTTACGGCATATGACATTACTCTCCTTGGCTGTAAGCCTAAGCATCTCACGTGTTTCCTGGCTCAATATTTTTCTCTCTTGTTGCATCTTCCTAGTCGCCAGCATGCGAATTTGTGCTGTGAAGCTCGGTACTTCTCAGTACTCAGTACTTTATTAATACTTACGGTCATGTACAAAATTTGGTAGACCGTTTGAGACAACAATCTAGGGTTATTCATAGTCGATATTTTAAGGTTATAAATTTCGACTTTCGGTTCCTCTTCGTTTAATTGGAATAATGAGCCGCCGTTGGTTTGGTGGAGGATCGGCATTAAATCCTACTCTTCTTATTGATTGGCGTCTTTTTACACGTGATACTTCCAGCGTCGTGAAAACTTATCCTTCTTCCGCTTTCACCGGCGGGTACTGCAGCGCATGTTTTTAAAGCTGGGGTAAACTCGACCACACGGCGACATGACTTAAAATTCCCCAAAGTATTTTCCAGTACAGCCCTTGGCCGGATAAAAACCCGGGTCGTTCCGGTGTAAGGACCCGACTGTTGCGAGAACTATTGGATTTTAGTCTTACGACAGGCATGACTTACTGCGGGTGAATTCTTGAGCCTCTAACCCTAGACGTTGTCTTTTAGCTCGCTGATCTATGTCAATGTCGTCTTATATCTCGTACAGTTCATCGTACCTTCACCTACAGAACTCGATGTGTAAATACGCAACAAACCATTAAGCGTCCCCAAAACCTTCTTCCGAAAGATCTTTATACTGACTCACGATTCAGTTCATAGTAGCTTTTGTTGGCAAGAGCGATTCTGGGTAGGATTACCCAGTTCTTTATCCAGTCTATACTGCTGATGGCTGTCCACGTAGACAATTCTTAGCTAACCTCGTCAACTCTAGCGGTAATAAGAATACTTCAGTATCAGCTGGTATCACCATGTAGGGAACTGTGCCAAAATCTTTCGACAAACCTAGTGGTTGGTATCAGAAGTCGGGAACAACAGGACATCCAGTGCTGTTGTTGTTTTGATAGTGCTTCACTAGTCCCGCTTCGGCGCAGGCAAGAGTAGTCTAAGTCATTGAGGCCAGTTGGTTCATGAAACGAACAGTTTCGATGGGTTTGGACCAGAGGGAAAGAGAGATTTGATAAGTTGGTTTAAAGGGGCTTGTAAAGTCGTTATAGTCGTGTGGGGACTCATACTTTGGGTATGTCGGTATCAAGTCTGGAACTTAGTTGTACGAGTAAGGTCTTCAGTATCTTTATGACTACTGATATTGGTCACAGAGAAGAGCAACAGTTTGTGAACCAGTCCAAGAGATTTACAGTTCTTGACCTTCTCGATGATCCACTAAATCACTTCTCTTGGCGAAACTTACCCTAATTTGATAGTTATCCATACTGTCATCACTCATCTGACGATTCCACGCGTTCTGTATTGTCTCCACCGCTAGATTATGGAAATTTATAGGCAACAAAAAGATCACAGCAATTTGTGCGAGTAGCAAAAGGAACAAAAATATGGCATACTGAAAGAGTAAAAAAGGAAAATAATTAAAAAAAGAATGCCATTACACAAAGCAACAAAGCCACAAAGCAACTCACAATCAAAATAGTGCGCGGCGACTCACGTATCGTGCCACAACAACCCACTATTGTGGTGGCGAAGAGCAAACCGCCCAAAACCACGCCCACAATGCAGGGCACTTTAATCGAATCACTGGCATTGAATTGCACTAAGGAGTATGCGCTGGCTGATAGCATAAAAGCGCCCGCTATCTACGGTGAGAGTATTAAGTGGTAGAACAACAAAAAAAAAAAAGCAAAAAGATAAAATTATTTTTGAGTAAAATAAATTGAATAGAAATAAAAAAAAGATCATTAATTAAAGTAAATAAAAAACATATGAAAATAGGGCACAAACAAACGACGTATGTATGTATGTATGTGCATATCAGGGCTTAAGTGGAGACAGTGAATGATTTATGGAATGATTTTAAGTAAAATACATACATACATACATACATAACACACTCAATAAACACTATTACTCACACAGCTGAGCACATTCATCAGAAAGGCTAGAAATTTCAAGGTGGACGTTGCACAAGTCATTTCGTGAACTATTTGTTCTTTCAAAAAAAAAAAAAAAAAAGTTTAAAAAAATTCTTTAAAACAATAACAATTAATTTATAAATTTATTTAATAACGTTTTTCTTAATTAACACCAGACAATTTCGCTTCCGTTTCAAATATAATATTTAATACGCCAAATTTTTAGCCACCCCACACCTTCCACTCTTTGCACACTCTCCGAAAAAAGAGAGAAAAACACACACGCACACTGAAGATCTTCTAGGCGTCTGCGTCCACTTTGCGTTGCAGTAACTAAGCGACTAAACAGCACTGAAATCAACAAAAAAAGATAATACTGCCCATACATACTACTTCACCAAATTCTTCATGTGTATTTTTATCGTTTATATTTGAACATGTCATTTTGTGCACTGGTGCACTGAGCAATTGAGATCGCGTTTTTCGGATATGAAATACGCTTGAGTACATTAAAAAGTATCAATAAAGGGTTTTCCAATGAGAGGTGTTACTTCGAATAACCTGATATTCCGGTAGATGTCACTTTTGTAGCTGTAATTTTTTGACATTTGACAAGTAAAAACTACGCGAGTAACCAAAGTTGAAGGAGACGCGCTTCAACAACGCGCTGAAGTTAATAAAATTCCCTATGAAAATGGTGAAAACCTGGCAGACCCGGTTCGTAAAACAGAAACATTTTTTTTGTTGTTATTGTAACCGCAAATCATTCCAATAATTGGGTTTCGGAGAAGATTGCGGGAGCGACAGTGATTGGCCGGATAAAAATTCGTGTCGCTCCGGTATAATTCTCGATTATTCCGGAAACTATTGGATTGTAGTCGCCACTTACGACACGCATGCCTTACTACGGGTAACATCTTGAGCCTCTAACCCGCAGGGGCTAATAGCTTTCGCTGAAACACCTTGTCGGCAGAAAATACAGTAATAAGTGGGAAAAATTAAGCTGTTGGCACAAGTTAGTGATGTGAAGAATAAAACACATGCACGTCGTGCAAGAACAGCTGGGAGTATGTATTGCTTTTGTAGAACAAAGTGGGGAAGAAAACTCAGGTTTGTCCATTCCTGGTTGTTCTTTGGAATTGGGCATTTCACAAACGTCATTACACTGTACTTCGCATAAAGATTTGAATCTTAGTAAGCCCTAAAGTTCAGTTAACACAAGTATTCAAGCCTGCTGATGATCGACAATATAGTGTCTTTGCTGATTGGGTTCTTGAAACGCATGGAAATGAGCCAGGAGCAACAGTTACGATAAATGGTTTGCCATATTGAGAGATGATTAATAATTTTTCATTGCCGGAATTGTATGGTATTGATCTGAACAACGTGTACTTTCAACAACCATCGAAAGGGAACATTTCCGGACCGTGTATCTCTCGAAGAGCTGATCGAAACTGGCCACCGAGATCTTGTGATTTAATGCCTTGCGATTTCTTCCTTTTGGGACCAAGTGAAAGATAAAATCTACGCCAAAAAACTAACGCCAATTGAAGATCTCAAAGATAAAATTCGTTGAGCTATTGAAGACATACAACAGCCTGAAGGAGTAGCCATATCGGTCATTCGTCTGATATATTGTTTTCCATTATTAATGGGATATCTTTCTCTTTACACGGAAATAAACGTTCGGAGGTTTATCTCAAAATATATAATTTCTCTTTGTATATCAAAATAAACCTCTTATTGAAAAACTCTGTACATATTTCTCAAAATTTGTGTGAGTCTGTAAATTCTTGAAACAAATTTCAAACAGATTAACATTTCAATGCATTAATTTCTTATTTCTTCAAGCGAAATTGCGGCATTTGGGACGAGATGAGAGAGATTCAATCGCTGCCATTTTATCCAGAAAAAACTACGGCTTGATGTGGTTTATGGGCTGGTGGTCGCGCCATGATAACCGACTATTTGATGTCTGAAATTGAAGCTCGTCATGTCGGCAACATTTGCTTTCAAAAACACGGCGCCACTTCGCACACATCCCTTGAACAATGAATTTATTGAGAGAGCAATTCGGTGGGTAGATAATTTCACATTTTGGGTCGGTCGATTGACTACCAGGATCGTGTGATATCACACCGTTAGATTTTTTGTTGTGGGGTCATGTCAAATTCAAAGTCTATGCGGACAATCCTGCGTCGAATCAGGCTTGAAGCAAAAAATCTCGCGTGTCATTCGCTAGTTACCAGTTGAAATGCTCAAACGAGTCATCGACCAACCCGCGGCCAACATTTGAAAGAGGAAATCTTCAAAAAATAAATGCCAAATATTGTCTTGCAAATAATAATAAACATTCCCTATTAAATTCACCATTTAGTAGTCGGGGGGTACTCCAAACTTCGAATCAGCACATTTGCTATTTTTACAGACAAAACACGAATTTCTTTGCATAATTACTTCTCTTCTCTTTCGTTTTTAGGCAGTGTGCCAAGCGATAGAAAACTGTAGATTTTGACAGCCAACAGTGAAATTCTGACATTTTTCGTGGTGAGTAAAAAAGTCCGAATTTTATGTAGCTCAAGGATAAAGTAAAATTTTGATTCTTTCTTATTACATGCTATGAAAAACAAACGTCATTTGACCGCAAATTTATTATTATAATTATTATTATTATTATTATTATTATTATTATTATTATTATTATTATTATTATTATTATTATTATTATTATTATTATTATTTAAAAACCTTTCTGGTGAATGTAAGTAATTGCCTAAGAACATTGGTATACAATAGAATACTCGTATAAACATTTGCTCTGACAAAAGTATTACCTGGCGACTCGACCGTTGCCTAAAACTCTGAGTTAACAGAAAATCATTAGTTGAAAGTATTGCTTCTACTTCCACCAATATCGCCATTAATAAACAAGGGAATTTTATTTGTATTTTATTCATTTTTTACCCGTGCGTGAAAAATATATGCGACTACCTCACGAGTTTTTATCCTCTTTAAGTCAAAATTTCCAATTTCACACCATTGTAAATTTTTCCCACCCCATTTCACCATAGAAAAAAAATATACCGGATACACAGCCTTATTGTTTATTTGCTTTTCGAAAATTTTCACAAATTGAAAAAATACAATTAAGTTGAGTTAAGAAATTAAGAAAACTGACAGTTAATGACTCAAAGTCATTTAAATTTTGTTGTTTTGCTCCGTTGGTTCACTGCAAACACTGTGACCTGGCTATTATTTCATCGTGATGGCTTACATCAAAAACAAAATTTGAAATTCTTCTGCCGCTTCTTGTTTTCGGTTGTGCATCACATTGTGGTGAAATCAAAATGAATTACTTAATAATATTAATTAAATATTTAGTCGTCTTCTTTAACTTTTTATGTGGTGTAAGTATTGAACCTGAAAAAGCAACGGATTAGTGTTGAGAATGAAAACAGAAAAGTAATTTATTTATTTTTTGAAAAGAGTAAAATAACCAAAATAGAAGAAAGAAATGAAAAAAATATATTTAAAAAAAATTGGTAAATTCGCCAGACAAAACAAAGAAAGTGAGTGAGTTCTTTCTGAATTGCTACAGTGATCACAATGCGATATATTGGAAACAGATATACAGTTTCATTAAATTTTAGTGCTATTTTCATTTGATGATAATATATTATTGTTACCATTATTATTTTAATTATAAAGCTTAATGGTTATTTTTTAACTTTTTTTTTTTGCAAATTATTGAATTTTTTTATATTTTTTACATAAGTGTTTATTACTTGGCCAATGTTACTTTTACTCGTTATTCGATGAAAAATAACCGTTTCAACTGCACAAGCGGGTGTGAAAGCTGTAGCGTCGTTACAGTATTTTTTTTCATCAAATATTCACGAACAAGCAACGTAGTGTGAGCATGTGCATTATCGTTATGCAAAGGCGATTAACTGTTTTCCACAAGCACGGCAGTTTTTTCCTGTTTGCTTCACGAAAACGGCGTTCAACTTGTAGGTAGTACTCCTCACAGATCCATTGACCTGGTGGCAGAAATTTGAGATGCCATTTCCAGTATTTAAGAGCACGGAGAACATGACCTTGAGCGCACTCATCGAACCTCTCTCGGCCTTGGCAAACCACAATACCATCACTGCTCTGAATGAGCCTTGGCTTCGACTTCATATCCGTAAACTCATATTTCGCCATGTATTATAATACTATACGTTTCAGTAAGTCTGCATTGTCGCTGATTTCCTGAGCTACTTCCATTCGCCGCTGTTTTTCTTCAAAATTTAACAAGTTTTGATGTCACGGGTGTTATATATATATGACACTTTTTTACCCGCTGAAGCGAATTTCGGCCGAGCACCTCCTCCAATTTGTCGTTTTGTGTCTTGATGTTTTTTTCCAACAAATGGAGGGACCTACAGTTTATACTAAGCCGCCTCCGAACTGTTTTTCACGAGGAGCCTTAATATCATGTCCGAAATACACTCTGAGGGGTGGACATTCCCTGCCGAGGGGGCGGCCGTAATTAAATAATTTAACTTAATTTTGTATTGAAATTAATTTTCCATAACTTTTGGATGTTGGTGGCACCGGGATATGACCCCGAGCCTTCCGAATGTCAGTACACAATGTTAAGCACTCGACCAGCGCGGCTAATACTTACTGAGATTTCTCGCCGAACATAGCTACTGTCAACTATGAAAACAACTGAAAATTGTATCATGCCTCAGAGGCGTATATTTACTAAATACAGTGGAAGCTCGTTTAACGAACGCCCTGCATGATGAAAAAATTTCGCTTAACCAACGAAGTTGTGCATAAAAAAAGTAAAATTTCTTTCAGTGTAGAGATGAAACTCAAGATCATTGAAAAATATAAACAAGGTAAGGTAATATGTGTTCCAATGAAGGCGGGGACTTGAAAACAAAACCCCTTCGTGTTTATCCATCAAGTTTTCAAGATAACCTCATTAGAGAGTTGAAATTTATAAAAATCTACTTTTTGCCTCCTAATACAACACCATTGCTTCAGCCCATGGATCGGCAAGTTTATTTCAAACTTTAAGAACCTCTACACTAAAGAACTTTTCCAGCATTGCTTTGAAGTGATTGAAAAAACCAATCTCACTTTAAAGTAGTTTTGGAAAAACCACTGTCATATTGTTAGTTGTCTCAAAATAACACTGATCCAATAACCAACGAAAATATATCTTTAGCTGAACAGATTGGGCTAGAGGTGGACAGCAATGACAGTGCTCAGCATGTGGCAGAGCCCAATAAAGATATGACTACTGAAGACCTTGTGAAATTCAAATGTTCAGAACAAGAAGTTGAGCAGTCAACTTTACCCGTCGAGAAGATAACAGAAGAACCGCAATCGTCCAGTGCAGTCAGGGAAATGCTGAATTCTTGTGGGTCTGTGGCATCGTACATTAAAAAGCATCACCCCAATCAGACGGTGACTGCAAATGCAAAAGAATTTTTTAACGATAATTCTGTGTCTCATTTTCAACAAATTTTAAAGCGACAGAAACAAAGGGTACTGGGCAGTTTTTTATTAAAAGAAAACTCGGGATGCATATACCCGTTGTAAAAAAATTTATATTCTACACAGTGTGTACCAAAAATAACCGAACTTTTTGGATATAAAATAAAATACACATTATATTATCTTTGAAAGTTATTATTTATTCAAAATAGGTTCCATTTGACTCAACATAACGTTTGGAACGATCAACCAGCGCATGCATAGATTTTTTTATGTCATTTATAGAAATGTTCGTCAGTACCTCGGTTACGGCTGCTTGAATGGCTGGGATATCATCATAAAATGCTCCCTTCATCTTGGTTTTCAGTTTTGGAAATAGGCGAATACGGAGGATGGTCGAAGAGAGAAATCCCTTTTTTCATTAAAAATTCGAGCGATTTTTTGGTAGTCATTTAATTTATGTGGAACAAATCGCGCACAGACCTTTCTTTTCTCCAACTCTTCAGTTAAAATTCTCCAGATAGTGTTCTTACTTGTATTCTATTCCTCAGCCAACATTCTCGTAGTAAAATTTGCATCGATACCAATGATTTCACGGACTTTTTCCACCAGTTCAGCACGATTACTAGTTTCTGGACGTCGTGCTCTAGGGTCGTCTTTAAATCCTTACGACCATTTTTAAATCGTATAAACCACGTATAACTCATATCAATCATCACAATAAACTTTTTTCATTGATTTTTTTTTTCAAAAATTTTATATTTGCTCTTTGTTCCATTTTATTTTTGAACTTTTGGTTTTATTGAAATGGCTGTCACTTTTACATCCGTCATCCGACTTACATGATGTTAGGTGCGTTTGAAAGAGGATGAATGGGTGTTTTTAAGGTTGCAAATTTTCAATAGATGGCGCTGTATGTTGTATGATTTAAATATAAAGTTCGGTTATTTTTAGGACCGTTTATATTTCTTTATCTTTAAGGTATACATATATTTAAATTGGTACATTTTTTACGTTTTAAAAGTTTTGAAGTCATCTTTGTAACTTTCCTTCAAATAAAAGTTCAAATTGAAACATATTAGTGGGTAGTGTTTTCCTCCTGGAAAGGCATTAATTTATTCGACATGTAACTTGTATCGAACGCTAAGCGCTGGATCAGAGAACTTAGAATAACGAGAAGGCGCAAATTCGTTGCAACATCGAACCTGTTTCAAACATTTTCTGAAAAACTTTGGAAAAGGAAAGGGATTCACCACGCCGGGAAAGGGATTCACCATGCTTTCTATAACAGCCACTGATAAAGTTAGCAGCGATCGGAATGGATTTTCAGCTAAAAACAGAGAAATCGTATTTAAAAATTTTTTTAATTTTGCTGAATAAAAATTTAAATATGTACCTAGAATTTTTAATATCTGCTATGTTACTTAAAAAAATGACAGAGAAAAAAATAAAAACTTTGAAAAATAAAATTAAAAAACATTATTAAAATTTCTCTCAAGCGCGATTTCGGTTGGTATAGAAATCTCGTATTTTGCTTGCCATGCACTGCTCATATGGCTGCATATGCTGGCTGAGCGGACTAGATTTTATTAGGTCATACATACATATGTATAATATTTGAATAACTTATTTTTTTTATAGGTTTTCGCAATTGCTACTGTGATCGTTTGTGCTTTGGGATTGACAACGGTACAAACAGAGAATAAATCAATCTGCATTACACTAATTATTTTCGGCTCCATTATCTTTTTGGTAGCGCTTATGGGCTGTTGTGGCGCTTTGGCTGAGAGCTTATGTTGCTTATGGACCGTAAATTTCAATATTGTTTTTAATCATATATGTACATATGTAATGTAATGTAATGTTCTTCAATAATTTTCAGTATGCAATATTTCTCGTACTGCTCATCGTCGCCGATTTGGTTTTATTGATTGGTTTTATGAAAGATATCGATTATGAAAAACAAGCGAAAATCGATATGGATACAGCATGGCAGGAATATCTTCATTCTAATTTTCGTACGATGAATAATTATCAAAATGCGGTTGTTGAATTTTTCGAACAAAAATTTTTATCTATAATTAATAATAGTTTTTAATATGCATAGCTACATTGTTGTGGCAGATACGGTCCGTCAGATTATGAGGCCGCCGGTTTGAAAATACCCAATAGCTGTTATAAGAAACACATTATACCTGAAGATCTATATGTGAATGGTTGTTTGGCAGCGCTGAAAAAGGCATATAATGAAACGCAATCACGTTTGTTTACCTTCGAATGGGTTACATTTGCGGTTGAGGTGAGTGAGAGCAGAATGGAAACGAATTTATGCCGCAGGGGTTTCTAAAAATTTTGATCACGAGCCATAATAATTGAAAAAATTAAATTAGTTTATTTTTTCGATCATAAATATACATAAAGTTTTTTTTTTAATGAGTTCATTAGTTTCTTTTTTTAATTAATTTCATAAAACATTTTTTTTGCAGTAAAACATTGCTAGTATTATTTTTAATAGTTCTGGGAAAAATATGTTTATAAAAAAAATAAAAAAAAAGTAAATAACATGTCGTCAAATATAATAATACCAATTTTTTTTCTTAATTATTTATTGCGGCTTCATAAAACATTTTTTTGCTGTAAAACATTGTTAATATTATTTTTAATAGTTCTGGGCAAAATTAGTCAAAACAAAAAAATTACGGATTTTATAGTAAATAATTTATTGTCAAATATAATATTATAACATTTGGATTAATTTAATTTAGTTTTCTTTATTTTCGAAATTTTAATTGGTGTTTTCGAAATATTATTTTCGCTATAAAAACTTATTGCTCTTATTTTATTTGATAGTTATTGCTATAAAATTGTATTAAATATAGATTTTGAAGAAAATTATTGCTTTTTGGATTTTTAGTTTTTTTTTTGTAAAATTAAAGATATTTTTTGGAACTTAATTGCTTTATATTCTCTCGTTTATATATATATTTTTTTTTGTAATATTAATAGTACATATTCTTATATTCTCCTTCTAGGTAATTGCTTTGGTATGCGCTATCACTTTGGCTATAACATTCCAATATGAGAGTTCTCGATATGGTTCAGAAGTCAGTAATTTTTAATCTATAAATTTATTCACATCACAAAGCTTTGTTTATAAAAATTAAAAGAAAAGGTTATTAAAAAAAAATAATAATAATCAAAAATAAGTATATTAACTAAAAGTTACATTAACAAACATATTTCAATCTGTTATTTTTTTTTTTCCAAAACCAAAACATTGATATTTTCACTACTGGGTTCTATTTACACTCAACCTATGCGATTATTGTGCGTTCAAGTGTGCGCATTTTACGAATGCTGTCATTCAGTTGGACAAGCAGATAGTTTGTTTATTGGTACACCTTCTTGACAGCTAAATGTAAATCGATGCCAAAAGAAGTTGTAATGAACTTTTGAATATGTGAAAAACTGACAACACTGTTATAGAAGTGTACTTGCATTAGTCATGTATGTTTGCACATTTATTTAACAAATGAATTGCGTAAGGTACAGGGGCTTATTTTCAATAAGGTCGGATAAACTGTACAATGTTTCATGTTCAGTCCACTCCGAGATCGGACCCGCATTATAGGGGTGGTAATGAAAGTAGCCCAATTTTAAGTGGTGAGTATGCCATGCTTTTTCCCAAGCGAATTCCTAAATTTACTCTTGTTGCAGCATTGCCAACGAATTTTTATCTATTTTTTTAATATTAGAAACGGACTGCTGAAAATAGATTTCCCTCAAATTATTGAACAAAAAAGGACTTTGTCTTGAATGACTGGCAGATTAACCTACGAGGTGCGACAATAAAGTAAGGAGACTGATTATATTGACGCAATTGTGGTAACCCTTGAAATTCCCTTTCCCTTCTCTCGGCATTCTTCTGCTTTCCATTGATATATTTGCGATAACTCTAGCTTGTTTAGTTCGCCTACTGTGTCGTCTTGAGTTAACGTGTATTCGTGGTGCTCGTCACGAAAAAAAAACATAATCGAGAGCAGCGCGTCACGATAAAATTTTGCGTAAAACTGGGCGAAACAGCTTCGGAAACGTACGCTAAAATTGTGAAAGTGTATGGTGATAGTTCCATAAGAGTTTGAGAAGGGGTGTGAATGCGTGGAAGACGAGACGCGGAGCGGGAGACCAGTCGAGGTTGTCGACAGCCGTGGAATCGTCCACAAAGAATTTCGTCCACCAGGGCAAGCCGTGAATCAAGTCTACTATCGCCAAGTACTCGAAAGATTGCGAAACGAGTCAACAGGGTGCGCCCAGACATCGCTCGTAACTGGACGACAACTTACTGTGCCACACCGCCCTCAGGGTGTCTCAGTATTGGACATCTAAAAGGATTGTCGTATTGCAACACCCGACTATTTACCCGATATCTCACCCTGTAACTTTTTTGTTCCTTAGAAAAAAAAATCAAACGAACGAACGTCTAACGAACCCATTTTAAGTCGATTGAGGACATCCAGGTGGCCAAGACGAGGGTACTCGCGGACACGCCAGTCGAAGCGTTCCAGAAATGTTATGTGCTGAAATCGTTGTATAGCTGCTCAAGGGGACTACTTTGAAGGGGATGGCAGAGTTGTAGAATAATTTTAAAATTTACGGTTTTTATGGCACCAGTCTCATTACTTAATTGTCACACCTCGTACAGTGTTTAAAGCACTGGTCGTAGAGACCTGAGACTTGTAGGATGCATTTGGCGTGTCACGTAGGCACCCGATAAGAAAGGTTCTTTAGGGATGTGATGATGAATTGATATGGGGAACGCTTTTTCTGGCAGGATTTGGGCCTCGGATCGACTCGATGATTCGGCTATGTTTAATATGTGGCACATATATAATAGTCAGACCTAATAAAACTTATTCCAAGCGGACCAAGTAGCGGTCAAGCTCTAGTCTTTAATAATAAGGTCTATCTGTTGAGGACTCTGCGTCAACTCAACGTTTGAGGAGCTACAAGTCTACCGCATTTCTCTAGTCTTAGGCACTTAGACTTAGAGGGAAAGCTTACTCCTATGCAATTGAGTGATGATCTGCTTAAAATAAATCGCCAAACTTAAATCATATAATTAAAAGTTAAAAATATGTATTAGTGAAGCATTGAGGAACATGCCCGATGAGACTCTAAAAATAAATCTGCCACTCAACTACATAATAAATAACTAGAAAAGTGCAAAAGGGAATGGATCAAGTAACTATCACACTCTTGTGGAAATATAGACGAATAGGTCGTGGATCTGAAATACTTTTAGCGCATGTTTCCTGGGCAATTAAAACAGTGTTCGCATGACGTCTTTTCTTCTCTTCGTTATTTCGCGCCAATTGGAAATACTAGGTACACCTGGGTCCTTCTCTAACTGGGGTCTTTCCAACGGAGTGGATGTCCCCTCTTCCTTTGCTTTTGTCGGTGGGCGCTGCATCGAAAACTTTCAAAGCTGGAGTATTCTTTTCTATCCGGGCCATATAGCCTAGCCAGCGTAGCCGCTGTTACGCAAAACCTTCTTTTGGAGAATTGCTTGCGCCGCCTCATTAAATGTTGTAGCAGGGCGGGAACGGGAATTGTAGAGTTTAGTCTTCGTTCGTCGAGAGAGAATTTTATTTTTCATTTGCTTACTCAGTCCAAAGTATCATCTGGATATCCAGACCGACATTATTGCTGGTGTTAATATTGGTTCCATGTTAGACGATGTTACCTACGTCTTCAAAGATATGGCTGTCAACAGGGATGTGGGAGCCGAGCCGCGAATACGATGACTGTTTGTTTGATAACAGGAGATATTTCGTCTTGCCATGGTTTACTACCAGACACGTTCGCTTCGCTTCTTTATCAAGTCTGCAGAAATCAGAATTAACGGCACGGTTGTTGAGGCCAATAATGTCAATATAATCGGCGTACGCCAGCAGCTGTACACTCTTATAGAAGATTGTAACTATCTACTTGTTATTTTCTCCAGCATGTCTGAAACTTCGTTTGGTATCGAAAGGCTCAAAGAGGTCCTTCCCGATCCTGACGGAGCATTTGGTGTGGGGTAACATTTACTAACATAGCCGTATAAGTTTTGCGGGAATACTAAATTCAGGCAGAGTGAAGAAGAAGCAGCTTTAATTTCGGCCTATTGGAAGCTGCTTTAAAACCGACGAAGAGGTCGATTCTCTTTTCACGGGTATTTTCCAAAATTAAGCGATGATGACCTTTGGTTGATTTACCAGACCTAAGGCCACACATATTATTGACGGTTTTTCACACAAAACGCTCGATAGGATATTATATGCGATATTAGGAAAGCTTAGCCCATAGTAATTGGCGCAGACTGTGGGATCGACTTTTTTGTGAATTCGGCAGAGCACACTTAAATGCCAATCGTCTGACCATTTTCTGCTGCAAAGTAGCTGATGCATGCACCGTTGTCAGCTCTTCACCGCCATGTTTGAAAAGCTCTGCTGGTATGCCGTCAGCTCCAGCAGCTTTTTTGTTTTTTAATCGGGTGATCAGTATGCGAACCTCTTCATAGTCGATTGATGCAACGTCTTTTCTATCTTCATTGATTGAGGAATAGACTTCACCATCTTCTAGTGTTTCATCTCCACTGCCATTCAGCAGACTGGAGAAGTGTTCCCTACATACATTAAGTTTACGCTGGGCAGCCGTTACTAGCTCACTCCTCTGGGTCCTGTATGAGTCTGCTCAGATCTTGAAATTCCCGTAAGTCGCCGCATCTTTTCGTAGAATTTTTGAGCACTACTTTTGGCCTCTCACCCTTTATACCCTTCATACTCGTCCTTGTACATATTTACATAATTTGGCTGGTAGTAATGTTTCGTAGATCTTAAATAAAAATCTCAAATTATCGCTTTAATGACCCTGTAAGCGGTAAGTAAATATAAAAATTGAACTTTTGGCACCTTTGAATAGGCTTACTAGCACAAACACACACAAACACACTCAGCAATTTCTAAACAATCGAACAAAGCTCATATGAATAAAGGGCTTGAAGAAATTCAAATCAAAAACATTAGAAGCGATGAAAATGGATAAACTAATGGAAAACATTTGAGAATAGAACACGCCTACAATGGAATTAGATTTCAATAGAAGGATAAGTGCAGAAATATGTATGTAAGCGGGTAAGCAAATTTAGCGCACAGAAAAACAATGGCAGTGGAAACTAAGTGGCCAAAATGCGCTTTTCAGTCGCCGCTTCTATTCAGTACAATTTCCGACGGTGGGATCAACGAACGAACGTTTGAACGTAATAAAAGAAAAATAAAAGTTTTTTATACTTGAAAAAAAAAAATGGATCGAGTGAAGGCGTAAGTAGTGGGAGGCGGTGTTTAGTGTACGATAGAAAATGTCTAAAAAAAAATAAATAAACCAAAATTAGAAACTTTAGTAAAAAAATAAATAAAATCAATGTGACAAAACAAAAATTAGTGAGGGGGAAAAATAAAATAAAAAAAAAAATACTAAATTTGCAAATAAAAGCTAAGGAGTTTGCTAAATAAACTCACTGACATGTCTTGGCCACATTTTACTTGTTTTTGTGTTTATTCAATTTGTTGCTTTTGTTGCCCGCAAAATAAATGCAAAAGTGTTTATTCCCAGAAGGAGAAGTTAAAGTTGTTGTTCGTATATTTTTGTATGTACAATACTTATGTGTGGTGTTTCCTGAAACTTTCGCGGTTAATGTGTGAAAAGTTTGAACCAACTAACAAAAAAAGTAAAACTTCTGTTGCTTTATTTGCATACTCGTATAAACTTGGCCTATAGAAGTCCACCGCATGCACCTTAACTGGCAGCCCGCGACTGTTGGCGGCGGTGGTGAGTGTTGAAAGTTGAAAGTTCGCGCAACACACTTTAATTGCAAATTAAAAGTTTGCGGTATTATTGAAAATTGGCATGGTAGCAACATTGTAATTTAGTCTATCTGCCTTGTATTGAGTTTCATCGGTGTATTCACGTTTGGTTACTCATACGCCATGGCGCCCTCAATGCATGGCTTTGTATGCCGTATGAATTGCTTTGAAGTCAAAGTTTGTGTTGTAAAGTAAATATGCACAAACATTTGTTTGTGTGTTTGAGTGTAGTTTCTCACGTCTGAGCGAATCAATAATAATTTAGAAATTTCAAGTAACAATGCCAACATGCATGTAAATAAATACTTCAATTAGATACTGCATGATATTGAATGCAAGGTGTGTTCGTCGACATGAGTTTCGGATAAGTGCTGAAATAGGGCACACATTTTCTGGTGATGTGATCAATAATAATACTCCGTCTTTTTTAAACTTTGCACTGTTTTCCAAAGGATATATAATCCACTTCTTTTTAAACCCCCCTCAAATCAGACGGCATAAAAATCACTATCTCTAACGAAGGCAAATATCTCAGGATGATCTTAGATAGCAAAGCTCAACTGGAGCCGGAATACAGCGAAATATTCTCCGCATGTAAAGCGGACATTGACAAAAGATGGAACCTAGAACCGTTTATTGTACATTGGATTTATACAGCGGTAGTCAGATTTATTTTATTCTATGGGGTCACTGTCTGGTAGGAAGCAAACTGTACAAAGTTCAGCTGTCGGCAACAGTTTGGTATTATCGTCCACTCCTTGAAGTCCTGGAGACTCATCACAATTTTCTTCCCGGTAACTCTACAGCAAACTTCAAGTGAGCTGTAATTCTCTAGGACAGGAATCGGCTAACCCTTGGAGATATAACGCAACAAAGCGTGACCGGATATTGCTTTTTGCGAAATTCGCAGTGGAGTTGGACTACGCCATATTCACTTACAGATTTTACAATCTTTTCTCCACAGAAATCCCGAAAATAAATGGGAAAAAATGAATGCTCCGGATCAGGGTGAGATAGTCATCTTCACGGATGGCACTATACGAAAGGAAATGGGAAAGCTTTGAAATTTGAGGCTACCAGACTACTGAAGCGGTTTCCCATCAGCAATTATTGCAAATAAAGGAAGCCGCATAATAGTTACTAGAATTTCCGATTACAAACTAATCAATCACTATTGTCTAATCTTTGGGGAGTAGGAAGGAGAGGTTGTTTAGGAGTAGGAAAGGTGATATTCACTCCATAGGAAAAAATTAGAGATTGTTCGGGGTGACCATTTTTCCATTAAGCTATTGAGTAGAGCTGAGGGGACTACAGTAAAGCCTAGACTAAAGCTGTCTTTCATCGAAACAGCCAACACAAGATAGCTTAAAGAAAGAAGTTGCAACAGGGCTGGACGCCTCCGAACAGCTGTTGGCTTTTATGAGGAGCTATTTATTTCATGTCAGATATACGCTCGTACTTGGATGTTGGTCACACCAGGACTCGTACCCTGGCCTTCCCGATGACAGTACGTAATGCTAATTACTCGGCCATCGCGACCGGCAAAAAGCAAGATCTGAAATAAATACTTAGGATGTCACTTCTTTTGTTATGGAAGTTGTTTCGACCATCAGAGAAGGTGAGAAGAGCACCCGGTATCACAATGTGCTTTCTGACAGCAACTGCATCAACTTAACTCAACTCAAAAGAGTTAGATAGAGCAATAGAAAGCACATCCATTTTTTCCTCATAAGGTTTCGAAAGGACTTGTTGGCTTAATGTCCAGGCTACAACCTACTGTCATATGAACATATGAACAGAATGAACATGACTAGCAGTGACACTTCTCTGAAGAGTATGGCCACATTTATGAGTGAGATGTTAGAATACCTCCACTGTTTCTCTCCTGCCTTATCTGGAAAAAGTCTTAGATATCTAGGACCTTCACGGTTTAGGGTACTAGAAGAAGTTTCAGAACTGGCTCTCAAGTCCGTCTTTAATTTCGAAGAAAACCTGTTGTCCTACGCAATAACTATTGCATTGCATCTCCATCTGGCATCACAAAGATCAAGGCGGAGAAGCCAGCCCAAGAAATCTAACATAGCCATGCTTTGATTGAGAATTCCAAGATGGAGTCTTACGCTAAGTTACGCTTAAGTTTACATTTATATTAACTGTAGTTGAGTCAACTGCAGTGGAGCGGCAAGAAAAATCCTTTCTAGTATCAGTAGACTGTGCAGCCGGCGGAAGGTGCTCCAACAAGCGTCCATAAATCCATAAAAAATGTCGTCCTCAGATCTTGTGATTAGGATTTAGTCTTATAAGATATTTTATGACTGAGCCTAAATCTGTAATTAATTTCAAACTTTGAAGAATAAGAAGGAGTTCTACGAAATCCCACGTCTGAGGAAATGATAAGCAGGGGAACAGTATGCATATGAAAACGTAATATAAGAATGTCGTCTTAAGAGTAGGCGAGAATAGTTGAAGCCAACAAGATAGTCTAAGGGGCGGTCCAGAGAATAAGGTTTTTCGACGGGCCTCTCGAGGCAGCTTGACTTTTTCGTCTGCAATAAGTAATGCTGAAATTCCGAGAACGCCATTAATTTCGAGAGAGTTCATGAAGGTGTTGACGGTGAGTGGTTCTCAACTATGGTGCTGAATGGAGTCGATAAAGGCTAGCAATTCCTTCCTGATAAGCCTGGGTAGAGACTCAGACTCAAATAAATGTCAGTTGAAGTACTTACATCGACAGTATCGAGCAGACATGGCTTGCCCATTCATAATATTATGTTCCTTAACTCGAGGCATATATATATGTTTCACCGTGCAAGTGATGCTCTGGTGACGTCAGAAGGCTATCTATTACGGTACCAAGAGCGGTGTTCTGCTGTTAAATTAAAAGAAATTATTCTGTTTACCGGGCAGTAATCGGTCCCTGCGATCCATTTGAAAAGCTACGGTTCGATTGATGGTGCATCTACACCGACCGAAAAGTCATACAGAGTGGCTTGCGCCGTTTCTAAAGTGGTGATTTTAACGCCAAAGACAAAGAGTAATCTGTCGAACTCAAAAGGTTTGAAGATGAGGAATTGAAGGCAAGACAATTTTCGTTTAGTTAAAGCGATTTGGATTTATTCACAAGCAATCGAAACTGTACGAGTTGAAGCCGAGAGATGTCGACAGTTGTTTTTCACATTGAAACTGTTTCTTTAAAAGCATCAAAAGAAGATATATTTACACTGGAACGTGAAAAGTGGATATACCACGACAACTCCAAGAAGAGAAAACACTATGACAAGCCTGATGATCATTCGGTTCTATCATTTTCTATATCGACAGCAAAGAAAAACATTCTCGGTTCAAATGTCTGCATATGGTACTTTCAGGGAGGTTTGGTGTACTTTGAGCTGCTAAACTTTAACGATTTTGGAAGGTCACCGGTTCAGATACTTTGGGAAAAAAACAAGCGAAAAATGATTCAATGATTGGGCCGACAAGACAAAGAGAGCTTATTTTCTAGAGATGGTAGTCGAAGATTGCCAGAGAGCTTGGAGAAAATACTTTGTTGAACGCAAAAAATAGACGGAATTAATTTGCTGAAGAAAGATGGTTGCACCCTTTTTTTACCCATTTTAACATTAAACTTATATCAAAGAAGAGGAGAGGTAACAGTATGTAGATTAGATTCCAATTTATCAAATTGTTTTAATTTTTTTCCAAGGATCTCCGAAACTAGCCGGCAGATGACACTGAAAAATTTTCAGAGGTTTGTAAGAAGGTCCGACAAGTGGACCATATAACGATTGACCGACTACGTAGCGTTCAGCAGGTTCATTGCATATACAATTTACTTTGGAAAATGTACCATCAATAAAAAGCTGTCTGGAGTAGTCCAAAAAGCAAAAAGTTCATATGTCCCGCAGACGTACGTTATGAAGAAACGATTTTAATATTTAAAAGAAATTTTTTTTTTTTAATTTTTGTTTCAGTAAATATATTATATTTCGCCATTAAAACAAATAATTTTTTTTTCGCTTCTCTCGAAAACACGAATTACCTTCTTCTGCTCACATGCGTACATATGTTATTTATAAGTACATACAAATTTTCATTTAACGAACATATGCCAACACCACGAAACTGAAGTGAAGGCCTTTCAATGCAGTCCGCCCCTCTCTTGCCAAATCTACGCGATTACCGCTGATCGCACTCGTCTCAAGTATACATATATGTATACTCATCCGCACGCCAGTGAGTGGGTGCCATCATAGTCGCTAGCTAATGGTGATGATTTATGACTTGCAACACGCCAATAGCGAGTACACACATACCTATGTACGAACAAACCTCAAATGTCACTGTAATATAGAAATAATCGTGAGCACCCACACACTGGGTGGGTATGGGTATGAGCTGATGAAAGCTTGACATTGAAAGCCAACCGACTAACGCTATCAGCTATCAGTCGAACACATAGATTATATAGATTACAATAAAAGCAACATTCGCTTGTTTGTATGTCTCAGGTCTCAGTGCATCATGTCTATTGTTACGAGCCATTTAGAGTAAGCCATCGCAGGCTTACAAGTCAATATTGTTGGCGGCGGCGAACATTTAGGCGCGTTGCTGTGGCTTTGTCGCACTGCGGCGTCGATTCAGTGATTCAGTTGCATGCGCGTTGCATTTCTGTTGGTTCGTCAAGTGGCAGTTCCGGTGTTTCAGCATAACTGCTAACCTTCAATCAGCGTATAAAAGTAAATCAAGTGAAAATATTGACATATTGATTGATTGCTTGATTGATTGATTACTAAAAATGTCCACTTGGAGTGGCGTGCGAACTCGGTAATATTGAAATGAAGCACAAACTGGGATTATAAATGCGAAAGTTTCCAAAAATACTTTATTCTTCCATTTACAATTTTTTCTTATAGAATAACCGCTTCCGTGCGTACCACCAATCGCATGAATGCATTGCTTATGGAATCGATGTTGGGTAAGAAACGTGCCCTGCAGAAGTTACACTCCACTCTGGGGGAGGCCGAAGAGACTGAGTGTGCTGTGGAGAAGCCGAAACGTGAGTGGGAGTATTTTCGCAATAACTTTAGTATGGAAGCTGTTTATAAGCTCATCGAGGCGGCTATAGAAGAGCGTTTGACGTGGGATCGTTTTGGGCGCTCTTATGATTCGTGGCGCTCACTGCAAATGGCTGAGACGCTGGCAGCGGATATAAGGGATCGCGTGAAGCGCTTGCAACACAAGAGGTGAGCATAATTCTTTTAAACCAAGGTAGATAAGTGAGGTGGAAAGTGATTCCGTAATGACATTACTTTAGCTGTGGATTTTGAGGACGTGGGTCCGTTAAGCTTGCACCCAGATTACAATTACAAGTGTTGTTACAAATATGTTCTTTTGGAACATAGACTAGGGGGTTGGTATTTTATTGCAACAGCAATCAAGTACTCATCTCGCTATAGAGATTATCACCCTACTAAAGAATCTTCTGTTTTGTAGTTACTCTTGGTATTGTGATATTTTTTTAAGACAACAGAAATCTCGGGCTTGTCGTTTTTGCACAATGTTTAATCTCAGTTAGCAGCACGAGGAAGCCATGCCTTAACTTTATCCTACTGGCAGACTTATTGTCGCAGCTAATCCCTCACACCGAATGCCTCTTTGTTGGTACTCCAGATTTTCGACAACTTAAATATCTCTTCCTCTTCTTCTTCTTCTTCTTTACTGGCGTTGGCCCGGTTTACACGAATCAAACTAGCACGCCAGTTATCCCTTCTTTTCGCTGTTAGGCTCCAGCTGGAAATACCAACCGAAGCCGGGTCTTTCCAACGGAGTGGAGATCTTCCTCTTCCTCTGCTTCCACCCGCGCCTACTGCATCGAATACTTTCAAAGCTGAAGTGCTTTCATTCATTCGGACGACATGACCTAGCCGGCGTAGCCGCTGTCTCTTCATGCCCTGAAATATCATCACATAAATCGTACAGCTCATCGTTCCATCATCTGCGGTATTCTTCGTTGCCAATGCGCAAAGGACCATAAATCGTTCGCAAAACTTTTCTCTCGAATACTGCCTTGGCCGACTCATCAGATGTTGGCAACGTCCACGCTTCTGCGGTATACGCGGCATGCGACATGTAGAGTTTGGTTTTCGTTCGCCGAGAGAGGACTTTTCTTTTCGATTGCCTACTCAATCCAAAGTAGCACCAGTTGGCAAGATTGATTCTGCGTTGGACTTTAAGGCTGACATAATTATGCTGGTCCCTAGATAGTCGAAACTATCTACGATTTCAATGTTATGACTTCAACTGTGAGGTGTTAGCCAAGAAGATATTTGTACACTCTCATCCGAGGCACATATTGTTTTTCATTGGAGTCTGTTTTTCATTTGTCGGCTCCCAAACTCTACGCACAACCGCCTGGGACTCGCAATCTCACTTTAGCTCATCTACAAACGGGTGTTCGTAGGCTACCCAGGGGATACTTGGTCTAAGACCGGAAGCTGCTTGAAATATATGCAAAGCAATCGTTTTTGGCCCCTTCGAGATGAATGGCAGTCAAAAACTTTGTGATTGTAGCTTTGATAATGACAGAGCTTAGAAAAACATTCCAGGATTTTCAAGACGGAGTTTTAACTAGCGTTGTTTCTATCCTTTCATCGCAACTGTAATAAAAGGAAAGTGTTCTAACTTTGAGAACGATTTAAAGACAAAAAATATCCCGAGTCTCAGAGATTTGGGAGCAATAGTAGAGTGACCGAGTTTTAATAAAAAAAATAGCCTTGGACATGAAAAGTAAAATCTTTCTCTACGATCGTTTTCCGTAAAGAATTCTAGTAAAAATTTGTTGTCTCTTGTATTGTCATGTCGAATGCTGTAATCTAGCATATTCTCGTTATATTTTGTTCACATGGGCGTTAATACTGATATATACATATTGTTACGATTTTGCTGAATCACCCTCGATGATTTTCTGAATCCTTCGGGTACGATCTCTGGATTGTTAAATAATAAAAATATATATATTTTTTATTGGACTAAATTTTTCCTTTGTTTGGTTTCAAAACCTCACCTCCGAACGGATGTTTGTTGGCTACCCAGACCGGAAGTCGTGAGATGCTTGACCATATGTAAAAGAATTTAAGAAATTCCAATTTGAACTACAGTCTTTACTTACTAGAGCTTTTATACATGGTACTCGTAGATATTTTCGCCTAATTGGAAACCAGCATTAACACCAATAAAATGTCAGGATTGAAATCTAACGCATAATCAATCTTGCCAACAGGTGCCACTTTAGACTGTGTAGACGAATGAAAAGTAAAGTAAAGTGCAGAAGCATGGACCCTGTTGACAGGGTCGGCCTTGGAAGTCGTCGAGAGAAAAGTTTTACGAACGATTCATAGCATTTTAAGCATTCGATAAAGGAAGAAAATTACCTCCATTACGTAGGGAGAAACTCGGAGCGACTCGGTTTCATATCGGTATTTTAAACTAGCGCTGAACAGCGAAGACAAGAAAGGAATGGCGCGCGTCAAGTGTAGGGAATAATTTGGCGGTTAAAAAAAAAAACATAATCAACTTTATCCGAATTTTATTATTAATTTTAATAATAAAATTTTTCCTCTTATTTACAGACATCGCATCGTCTGCTTGCTATCAATTGTCGAGAAGCAAAATCAAGGAATCAGCTTTCGCATGCGTCACCTAATGGATGAGAAAATGGATAATTTTACAAATTTGGTGTACGAACGGCCATCCTACTACATGGTGGTGACTTTATTTTTAGTGTATAAAGACTGAGGAAGCAAGTGTATGTAAAGCTTTTAGTGTTTAGTGTCCTCATGAGCTTTGGCTAATGGTTAAGCTTTCATTGTTGAAATTGTTGTTGAATTTTTTTAGTCTAACTCACAACTTGTGTGCTTTAGTAAAAGTTTAGTGATACAAATTTTATCTAATGTCTAGCATTACCAAAGAGAATGAAAATGATTTAAAAAGTTATATAATTAAAAAAAAAAATTTAAAAAGCTATATTGTTAAATATGTTTAACCACAGGGTGCTTCATATAATATTTCATGTCGCTATGTAAACGCTGAATAACTTTCACATTTACCAGCCGAGGGATTGAATCAGATGCGTCTTGGAAACGTTAATATAGTACAATTTTTGCCATGGATCGCTTCACGCTGAAAGAACGCCGTGAAAAAATAGTTACCCTTTACAACGAAAACAATCATTCCATTGCGTTAACTCAATGTGCTTATCGGAGGAAATGTCGCGATAACTAGGCAACATCTGACAGATCACCTGATTTAAATTGTAAGGAATCAATCTGCATAAAAATACATCAATTAAAGAAATCGCTTGTTTTTTCTTAAAGTTATTCAATGTTCACATGCCGACATAAAAGATGGAGCACCCTGTACATACACATAATTCTGAATGATTCTACGCTACTTATTTGATTTATTTTTTTATTTAATGGAATTTTTATATGTTGTAAATTTTATTAAAAACTGATAAATTTTGTTCGTATAAAAAAATAACTACCAATGATTCTTTCGCGAATCACTGTAGGCCCCGGCGAGATTCGAACTCACGATCTCCTGTTTACTAGACAGGCGCTTTAACCAACTAAGCCACGGCGCCCAGTTGGCAACCCTTTGGAGATATAACTTTAAAAAACAAAGCACGTAGTTTGTTGAAAGTACATAACTCTAAAAATTTTGTTTTCAATTTGTGTTAAATGTTCGATAAGATCTTTTATGATGTTTTGCAATTATCGCTAACTATTTATAGAATTTTTTGAAAATATCAATAGACTTTAAGAATATTTATTTCAATTCACTTTTGCAGAGTTACGGTAAAAATTTTCTTAATAAATGGAAGTCATTTTTGGTTATCACTTCAGATTGCAAATTCGTCGACTGTATATAATAAATCAACTATTTGCTATGGATTGTATATTTATATAAATGTACTTTCAAACGATTTCATAAAAAATCAAATAATTTCGTTTTAAGTGAAATTTTAGTTAGCAGCCTGGTAAATAAGTTTGGAAAATTGGATTTCTTTCGAAATACATAATATATATGTAACATTTAGAATACACCGCAAAAATTGTAGTACGAAATTCGGAATATTTACAAATTTATATCACCTATATGCGAGCGTCTCATAGTTGTACGCGCTGGCTTTGGGATTGTTAAAACTTTCAACTCGTTTTTCTTTCAACAAGGTTCTTACTGTCTGCCCGGCTGTTAAAAAAATTTATTTCTAACCGCTTGGGCTCTCTCAATGGCTCTCTCAGGAATTGGGATTTTTCATAGCTAACTTTCCATTTTACAGCCCAATTTCTGCTTAACAAAATGCCAATTTTTTCGGAAGTCAAATAATATTTTTTTTTATCCTGCGCTTCGAAGCTCATTTTTGGCTAATTCAGTGCGTAAATAAGCCAGAGGCATTGCAAGAGCTACCAATGCATCCAGAAAAAATCACAGTTTGGTGGGGTTTATGTGCTGGTGAAATCATTGGATCGTATTTCTTCAAAGATGATACAAATCCTATAGTAACTGTGAATGGTGAGCGCTACCGTGAGATGATATGAAACTTTTTTTTGCCCAAAAAGCAAGATCTTGACTTGCATGACATGTGGTTTCAATAAGACGGCGCCACATGCCACACAGCGCGCGTAAGAATGGGCATATTGAGAAGCGAGCTCGCGGAACATTTTATTACACTTTCGGTACCAGTTAATAGGTCTACTAGATTGTGGGATTTAACGCCTTTAAATCATTTTTTGCGGGACTACGTTAAATCTAATGTCTATACAGACAAGCCCGCTTCAATTGACGCATTAAAGGACAACATTGAAACATTTTTTCGTGGGATACCGGCCAAAATGTTGGAAAGAGTATGCCAAAAATGGACTAAGCGGATGGATCATTTGAGCCGCAGTCACGGCCAAAATTTTCATGAAATAATCTTCGAACATTGAATTATATAATATGTATGTACCATCGATTCAAATAAAGATTTAATGCATTTTTCTGAATTTTATGATTTTTTGTTAAATTTTCCTTTACCCCTTAAAAAATCACCCTTTGTAAAATTATCACAATTTGTTTGACAAAAAAAAACATTTTCCCAAAATATATGTGCCAGTAATTTCAATCTTAAATCACTGCAGGCCCCGGCGAGATTCGAACTCACGATCTCCTGTTTACTAGACAGGCGCTTTAACCAACTAAGCCACGGCGCCCAGTTGGCAACCCTGTGGAAATAAAACTTTCTAAAAGCAAAAAATTAAAAAGATATAACTACCCTCATTATTGTATGTTTGCATATAAATAAACTTTCTTATTTGCAATAAAATCTTTATTATTTAGTTAATATTAGCAAAGAATGCTTTATTGGGTTTCTCTGAGTTTTAGAGTTAACATAAATATATATTAAATTTATATATTTAAAAAAGAAAAAAAGACAATTCTATTTTTTTTTTTTACTTTCATGTTTCCCTTATTTTCATTACATACAAAGAAATTTTCAACATAACCTCACTTATTTTAAGGAAACTTCTAAAACGATACATGTACGAGAGACATTTTTATGTACGCAGAATGATGAATGAGGGCGGGAAAGAAAAATTATTTCTCCTTTTCAATATATTCATCCGCAAAACGGTTACATATTTCTCATTGTTTTCCTAGAAGCTACTAATATAACTTTCGTGCTCTTAGATTAATCGATTCAAAAGGTGCAGAAGAAATTGTTCCTAAAGAACCGTCAAAAATCCTCATGGCCATACAATTTGTTTAGGCGACCCACAATAACGCGGCGGCAATGTTGAGCAAATGGAATTTTCAATTTTGAGAGTGTCAGTGTCAGGGACAGAAGAAAGGAAAAAAAAAACTGAAAAAAATGGGATACAAATTTGACAAAGAAGCGATTCGCGGTTTTTTGCAGATAAGATGGCAAATATTCACTGAAAAATTTACTCAGCAGGTGGAGGCACACCTTTGCCGGCCGATAAAGTTCATAGTATCTGGGTTAAAATAAATGTAATTAATTTGTTAAATGCAAGAAAATTCAACAGAATGAGAAACAGTGCAGGCTCATATTTAAGGGTAACACGTGGTGATATTATTAGAAAATGCAACGCCGAACGTTTCAATTTAGGTATGCCAGTAAAGGAGAGAAACTTGCAGCAGAGTAATATCTCAATGTTTTTGTGAAAGTGCAACCGATGCCATTAATGACAAGGTACGAGACTCTGTATTTCGCGGGAGCGCTCAAAAATCCGAATTTTTTGTAATATTTCTGAACAGCGCCACTGTGAAAGAAAAATGACTTCTTTGGATTTTTAGGTACATTTTGGGTATTTTATTACAAGCAACGTCTTTAATTGCAATTTCACCAAAATATTTCATTGAGAAACAATTAAATATTTAGTAATATTAAGTTTTATTAATAAAATTACAATAATTTCTTTAATATTCACTGCTAAAGCCAATTTCTTTTGAAACAAAAACAATGTGGTTTTTTTTGACATAGTGGTATTGGTGCATTTTGTGGAACGCTCTCAGTTGCAATTTGAATGATTTTGAGTAAGTTTCATATCTAGTAATCTTTGACCGATGCCCTTTTGTTGGCGAATTGTCGTCTTTTGGTCTTACTTAACGTGTAAAATAATAATATATATTAAAAAAAATATTTATGTTAATACAATTAAGTGTAAATATGTAATAAAAAAAATTAATAAATAACAAGAAAAAAAACATAATATAAATGCAGATTATTTAGCACAAATATGAAATCAAGTAAAAAGTTCGTACATTGATTTTTCAGAATATGATAACTTTGTGTACGTTTGTCCTTAAACTTATTGCCAATGAGATGCCATTATACCCCTCTCGTAGAAGGCTGTGTCCCTATTGGCAAAAAACTCGGACAGCCAATTTTCACAGACCTCTCTTGAGGCCAACTTCTCACCATTAAGCGCGCTTGCCATAGACAGGAAAATATGGTAATCACTTGGTGCCAGGTGCGGACTATACGGTGGGTGCATTAGGATCTCCCATCCTGGCTCCTGGAGCTTTTGGCGCGTCACCAAAGACGTTGTATTTGTCCTGATGGAACACAATTCGGCCTCTGTTGATCAAAGATTTCCTTCTCTAGATCAGTGCTGCCTTAAAGTAGTCAATTTGTTGGCAGTAGAGGGCTGAATTGAGCGTTTGGCCATAGGATCGTACTAAATGATTTCTTGCTAATCCCACCAAATACACAGCAAAACCTTCCTGGCAGTCAACCCGGTCTTGGCCACCGTCTGGGCCGCTTCCCCGAGCTTTCACCACGACCGTTTGCGCTCGATGTTGTTGTATGTGACCCATTTTTCATAGCCAGTCACAATCCGCTTCAGAAATGGGTCGATTTTGTTGCGATTTAGCAGCGATTCGCAGATGGAAATGTTATTTGCATTAGTTCGTGTGGCACCCAAACATCGAGCTTTTTTTTGAATTCAAGATTATGCAAATGGTTCCAAATGGTTTTCTGGCTTATCTTTAGTTCCTCAGCAATTAAATAAGTGCTCACGTGACGCAATTTTCGACGACAGGCCTCCCGACGCGTGGTGAATCTTTGACATCGAAATTACCGAAACGGAACCAAGCAAACCACCTTTGAGCTACACGTTCGCTTACAGTATCGAGCCCATAAACTGAATTAATTTTTTCAGCCGCTTTGACTGTTTTTCGCCTTGATCGAAGAAAAATTGTAAAGTATAGCGAATTTTCTCTTTGACGAGCGCTCACATCGTACCGAGTCAATCAATCGAAAAACTGTCAAAGACAAACTTTTAGCGAGAATAAATACCTTTTTAGCGCCGTATAGTACGACATGATGCGACAGGTAACACTAGTACTATCGACAATAATGCCATATTTGAAATCAAAACCGAACGAGCTTTTTACTTGACCTAATATTTTTCTTCAATCTTCAAAACAAAATAAAAATTCCAAAAACAATATTTGAAACAGTTGCCACATTATTTTCAGGCAAATGACAAATAGAAACATTGTTTATCTAGAATAAATTAAAAAACTACAATTCAAAAGTTCACTCATTACATACATATAAATTTGTAAGTCCAAGCAGATTTAATTTTATTTTATATTCTTTATTTTATTAAATTAAATGTAATTTATGCCGATTCGAAGTCACTTATCTGCATCCAGAAAAAGTTTCATTATGCAATAAGGTTAAACAATTTTAACTAAAATATTTGATGAAACTACTTATTGCTATAATTAACCGCTACTTATTGCTATAATTAAATATCTGAATTAC